GGCCTCTATTTCGCGGCCGTTGGTCGATCCGCACGCATGATCGGGCGCGAGGGATGCGTTTCGCAGATTGTAGACGGACGAAACGCCGATGCATCGACCGTTCCGAACGTGACGGAATATTCCGCGCGCCGTCGGGCCGCGATACCGATGTAAATGATCTAAACGTTACGTAAAGCAATCCCTCGGCCACACGATGACGTGGACGGTTGCCGCACCGGGCAATCACGGAACAACTCGATCTCGCGCTGATAGATCGCTCGTAACGTTGCAGATTTGCCCTCTCCTTGGTTCATCGCTCGATAATGCGCTTTTAAAGTGTGACTCGTCGCTCCGACTCGTTCGCTCTCCTCTTCGGAGCGGAGAGCTCTCGATAATGAACGATGCGCCGCGTCAGCCCGACAATAACGGGATAACGGGGGAGATATAACGAGGAAATGAAAATATTGGCGGGCGTATGAAGCATCGACGCCTTTACCAATAACCCGAAGATCGTAACGAGGTGAGCATGCGTGTGCGCGCTATGCGGGAAAAATTCGCGACCTTCGATACGTACGTACGTCTGAGAAGCCCATCTGGTTGAGTCAAGTAAAATTCTTGTTCGGATACGGGGAAGCAAATGTTTCGGTTATAAGAACCAAGACTTGGTTCTCTGAAAGGAGAATGAAGAGGGTCCGGTTCAAAGAAACGAACCTTGATTCTTATAATTGATACATTAGTTTGCCCACATTCAAAATAGAATTTTACTTGACTCAACTAAATAGGTTTCTCAATGTATCGCGCGATAATATTGTGATAAAAATTTTCCAGTGCTAAACTATATTGGAATTATGACTGAGGATTATGTACGTTGTAATCTTCAGTGACTTTTAGTGCTCGATTTTTTTCGCGTTCAACGCAATAAATTACTAAAAATTACAACACATATAATTTCCATTATAATCCCGGTATGGTCCGGCATGGCGAAATATCGTGTCGATCTTTACTGCAATATTTTCACCGGGCGCGTTTGATTTTATCGTCCGGCCGAATATGCACTGGTGCGTCTCGTGCCGGGGAATCACCGTGGCTTAATATCGGGAGTGATTAGCGGCGCGCCGTTAAAAACATCGCTTAATCGCTAATTCCACGGTATACGGCGTTCGCGCTCTTAACGTAACTCATACGTTGGTCCGAGGCACGTGAACGAGTTGAGAACGTATTTCGTCCTGGCCGATCAAAGGAGGCATGATTTATACGGCCCCATAGGAATGTCGTAACTTAACGAGCGCAGTTAACGGCCCGCGCGCTAAGGATGCATACGCGGCTCGACGATCGACGCAGGAATTGCCGGTTGCATGTGGGACGATAGCGAGGGACACGCCTATCGTCGCTGCACTTTATTACGTGCTAATTCCCGAGATTCCTGCGGGACGTGGACCCTGCCATCTGTTTCCCTTTTTTTCACTTTTCTCGCCCGTGTCGTTGCCGAAAAGACCCCGTCGGAGAGCTCTGATCCATTTCTTGACGCGTCGCGCTTCCGAGCGAGAATGCGGGGACGCGAATGGAGCCGGATTCGAGACGCATCATCGACAGAAACTCGCAGAACGTGACTCGTGAGAGGCGGACAATGGGGCTCCTTGGTCCGCTAAAAGCGTTTCTGGTTGTCGCTTTAATATGCATTAGTCCGAGCGTCGGCGACGGCATCGGCGATGACATTGCTGATTTGTCAACGGTGAGTGAATGATTCCGCGCGACGTAAGTACAAACGATCGAGTCTACTTTCGCTGAAATCTGGACCGCGCGGATAAATAACCGGAGATAAGCCGGTAGGTAGGTAGGTAACGCGTCGTGGCGTTTTGTTTTCGACCCGCGATGAATGGAGACTCCGTGTCCGTCGGAGGTGTGTTGATTTTACCGCGCGCGATCGATCGTTCGGCCGAAGCCGCGCGATGCATCGCGGACGTCAATCTCGGAGGCGGAGAGCGCGGTAATTCGAGTTTCTCAGACTTGAGAGTCTTGAGTATTTTTCAAGGAAAACTTATCGCTCCTCTCGTGCACAGAAATAAGTGCTAGATTCAAATAAGTAATTACTCCAATATTCCTTAGCGATTTTTTTCTTACTTGGATCGAATAATGTTTTACTTGATCGAAGTAAAATATTTTCCAAGTAAATTATCCAATTAAAACACTTACTCGATCCGAGTAAAAATTGGTTGAGAAGCGTTGGAGTAATTATTTATTTGTGTCCAACACTTTCTTCCTGTGTACGCACACAGAGTTCAATTTTCTCACCTTTCGTTGTATTCGCAAATGTTACAGTTTATGTTACAGTTTTCGCCGCGCAAATGAATCGAAGTTTTCTCTCGGTCACTTTCTTTTTATCACGTCTTCAGATCCCAATAGAATAGTAATAATAATTTTAACGCGGCGTTTTTCCCAATTTAAAATTGGTAATTGACTCGATTTAGTTGTATTCTCAAGACCTCATTCGACACACCGATCGTAGCTGGAAGCAGCTCTACCGTAGGGCGTACGCTGAACGGACGCTTAAGTTATCCTCGCCATCCTCGGTGCAAGGACCTCGCTGGATCGCAATAAATATTTTCCTTAGGCTAGAACTATAGGAGCAAGCATTTCTTTTCCAGAAGATGCATGCGTAAGGGCCCGACGCTAGACCACAATAGATGCTTTCCATCTTGGAATCTCGTTAGTTTTAGAGCCGCCTCCGGTCACGGCTTCTTGTAAGCGATCATTTAGCCGTCACTTTGAACGACTGCTTCGCGGGATCGATTCTATTACGTCATTACACTGCTACAATCACCGTGCTATATTACACTGTACTATTATACAGGCTCATGCGATGTTATTCCACCCTAATTTAATTATATCCCGCCAGAAAGAGGGTAGTTGAATAGAGGATAACATCAAATTATACAACATTCTGGAATCGTATCTGCGTCTACTTTCTCTCTCGAGAAACGCAAAATTCAACGAAATCGTGGCGCAATTATTATTAACGGATCAGCCGCATCCCTGACGTGACTTTACTCGCTGCTCCCGCCATTTGTTCAGATCCTATTTAGGCGATTACCTCGTATAATTATGCGCCCTCTCGGTTTACCACCGCCGCGAGGATTTTCGCTGAAACCTAATCCAAGGCGGCGCCTTGCATTTACCGGGAAACATTATCCAAGATCAACGAACTTACGCGGGTCAGAGCTTGGTCGTAGCGGTACGACGGGACGGATTACGTCGGTGCATCACCGCCTCGCGATCCTCACGAGCGCGTCCAAGAAGCGTATCCATCGCGCTGCCGCCTTCGTCGTCGGCCTCCTCTTCTTCGCGGTCGCCTGCAATTTCGTGCAATGTTCGAAATTGCGCGAGCACACGCGTACGTAATCGCCGTCGGGGGAAAAATGCAATTGAATCGGGACGTTCTGCGCCGGCAACGATGTCATTAAACGATCCCCCCGACCGACCGGTGCCGATTCCCGTGAGCGAGACGAAATGAAAAAGGCAAATGGGCCGGCGGATGCACCGACGCCCATTATTACTATTGGCATACGGGATATAGCCTCGGCGCGCACCGTGGTCAAGGGTAATAGTTACATCCCGCCACCGCCGCGGAGAAGATCTCTCTCTCTCTCTCTCTCTCTCGTTCTCCCTCTTTCTATCTATATATCTATCCGACTATCTCTCTGTCTCTCACACTCTCTCATTCTCAGGCTGGAGCCATGAGATAAATCGGGCACGGTCTCGCATAATCGCGGCGAATCTCCCCGTCGAGGACGCGATCGATCTCTCGATTCGGATTAAGTCGGCGAGCGCGCAGGTGCGGCTCATTTGAATATTATGTGGAACAAATGACCGACTTCTGGCTCGGGCACTGCTCCTTTTAGCGAGGCCGCCACGAGGGATAACGTTCCGCGTCGATGCGCTTCTGGTGTATGGACCTGGCGTGCGTATGACTCACGCGTAATACTTCTCACCTGGGGTTTCGCGCGATGCGCGGGAAACGTTGTGGTCTCGCGATGACGAAGTGATAGATTCCGCGTCATTGTGCCCGTTCACTTCGCTTTCGCCTCCTTCGCGCGGAAAAACTCAATCGCGAAGAGACCTCGAGGTGAGAGATGTCTTAACGATCTCGCGTCGTGCGTGCGCGGCCGCGATGCGCGGTTTTATTGAAAGACCGAATCTGTGCGAAGTTATCCGAGCCTTCGCGAGCTGAAAAAGATGAAACTTACGTTATCATCGCGCTTAATTGCGCCGTAATTTGTGCTTCTTGAGTGCTTCCCTTGAGAAGCGAGGGAATCTAAAATTTAAAAAGACTCCTCGGTCCCGCACAATCTTACTTAGCATGGACAAAGTTACGGTAATGGGCGTTACTTCTGTTTAAAACGTTCTGCAGGCAGCTCGGGCCCGTTAGTGCATAAATAGGGTCACAGAAAAGAGCGGGAGACGAGAGAGAAAGGGACGCACAGTTCTCTCCCGAGGCGATGCCAGAACTGGTACAGAGTCCCGTGGCGTGAGGTCGGGGAAAAAAGAACCGGCGTTTATTCCTTTTCGTGCACGTGGCGACTATTGAAAATGTCAATATGATCGTGACGCATCGAAATCGCAAAGATTAATGGCACGTTATCGCCGTCCGTTTTTTCCACGTCACCCGAGCTTTTATTTATGAGCTGTAAAAAAATGAATGGGGATATTTTTGCCGATATTTTCTCGCGAGCTTTTTCCCGCGAGCGACGAGGAGATACGAGACATGTAGCAACAAAACGATACTATAATCTTGAAGCTGACAGTTCAGAGAGAATCTCGAAGATGTTCTCACGATTACGATGAAATAACAAGTCATATGATAAAATGATGATAAAATGGCAAGTAATAATAAAGGAATTGCGCCCTGCAGAGCGTAAAGGTGCGGAATATAATCGTTGTTGGAATACCCCGAAGTTCTTTGGAGCGTCAATTTGCATTTGCAACTCGGACCTCGCTCTAGGTGGTAAATTGTTTGCTTGCAGGATCGGGCGAGGAACGTCAGCGAAAGATTCACATCCACGACCACGTTGACGGTCAACATCCGGGACGATGACGACCAGGATCCGTCCTTTATTTATCAAGGCTGTATGCTTTTGGATGGCGCCTGCATTAATCCGGAATATTCGGCGTCGGTATGTAGATCGCATCAAAGAGCGACGCAGAGCGCGTATACGCGGCGGGAATGAATTTCATCGAGCATTCCTACCCTCACGTTCGTATCGAGAATATAGAATCGGGAAATTCAAGTGCGTAACCGCGAACACGTATCTTTAATCAGCCGTCGATATCTCGCTGGCTCAAATTCACATAGCCTGCCAATAAATCGTACAACCGGTTCTGCTAGCGCGATGTTCTTTTTTTCTCCCCGTCAGGTATCGAGCGGAGTTCTATCCGGCATTCTCAATATCTCGCCCGAGAAAATACAGGCGGTCGACATGGACAGCATAAACGCGCCGATCCATTATTCCTTCCTCAGCGGAAATCCGCCGAATTACCGTGATTTCTTCGAGATCAACCCCAATACCGGAGCGGTGAGGCAGATCAAAGCTGTCGATACGACGGTGACGAAGAAGTTCGACACGATCATCAAGGTAAATGTCGGCGCTACCCTCGCTTGATATTAAAGAGGAAACGTTGATGCAACTTGCGAGTATTCCCTGCAAAATGAACACCGTGCCGAGCTGCGCAACGGTAAATTTTTATTTTTCGCGCGGAGTTGCGAGTAAATCATTCTCAACGATGAAACAAGCTGTCGCTTTTCGTCGTAATACGAAGGTGCGGAATACGTGCTTTCGGACACGCGAATGTTCGCTCCGTACGTCTTTTCAAGCTCGGGTCTCGTATAATAGATTTGTTTCTCCTCGCTCGCTTAAAGGCGGTCGAGGTGTCGGAGGCGAAACGATCGGCCACTGCCAAATTAACGATCACCGTCAAGCCGGTCGACAGCAATCCACCCGTTATAACGGCATCAAGTATCGAGGGTTACGTCGACGAGAACGCTCCGATCGGCACAAAGGTCATCGATAAAAACAGGAATCCCATTGTGCTCAACGTGTCGGATGCTGATTTGGTGAGTCTCTCTCTTTCTCTCTCTGACCCCGTAGATTTGATCGGTTTCCACTTAACGAAGCGTGACCGAGGTGTGAATGGACCGTTTAATTTCCACCATTGTTCACAGATAAGGTCCGCCGTGTCGGCGGAATGGTCACGGACCGGCCAACGGTCGCTCGTAGCTTTCCTCCTTTATTTAATTCGTAACATTTTCGCGCTCTTCCTTTCTTTTTTATTTAGGGACCGGACGACCCGAAGCCGGCGTACACTTTCGAGGTGACCACAAACTTCTTCGCGATCGATCCCGCCGGCGTGCTCGTCGTGAACGAGGAGGATCTGGACCGAGACCCTCCGAGTCCCGGCCGTTTCCGCTTCCAGGTGGTCGCCCGCGAGAAAACGGGTGTGGCCGCGTCGTCGCCTTTGTCGTTCGTCGTGACATTGAACGACGTTAACGATAATGCGCCCCAACTACCTATGATGCCACCCATCACCGTTCAAGCGGGAGAAACGAAGAGACAAGTAACAAAGGTGGCTTCCTCATTCCATATCTTGATGAAGTAATAGCGGCTATCTGCCGCGCAGCATGGAGGGATAATGAGCGAGCCGTAGTAATCCGCAGTCCGGAGTGAATTTGAATTTTTCCGCGCTCGTCGATCCTCTCTGCGCGATACTTCCCTCTCGTCTCGAATTCCACGCTCGATCGATCGTCGCTCGTCGTCGCGACGCTTCTTTCTCTCTCTCTCTCTCTCTCTCGCGTTCGATGCAAGCTTCGCGGGATGTCAGGCGGAGGAGACGAATTCATTTCGGCTCTCTCGCAGGTGGAAGCGACGGACAACGACGAGGGGGAGAATGCGGAGATAACGTACAGTATCTATCACGTGTCGAACAACGGCCTGCAGAAGTTCAAGATCGATCCGAAGACCGGGCTGATCGAGACCATGGGGAAACTGAACGCCGGCGAGCAGTACAGCATCACCGTGCAGGCCACCGACAAGGGCGGCAAGTACTCGCAGACGATCGTCGAAGTGAACGTCATTCCCGGGCCGAACACCAGAAGCCCCGTGTTCCAGCAGCCGGTGTACGAGGTGCAAGTCAGCGAGGGGGCCTCTATCAATTCCACGGTCGCTACTATCACCGTGAGTATGTCAGTCGATGATGTCCGTCCCGTCGGAGATTTACTTCGAGCTCTAACTGCTCCACCCGGCGGGCCCTGCTCGTCCGACTGTATCTTATCGCTTTTGCCATCGGTCTTTCTGACACCTTGACGAAACGTCGCATCCGGTGTTTCCAATTCTTCTTGCTCTCTCTCTCTCTCTCTCTCTCTCTTTTCTATTGCTCGTTGCAATTAATTTGCTTAATGACAAAATTCGATCAAGCGCTGAAAACTTGCCAGTCACGGCTGCACGATTGCATGACGACTTAAGATTAGAATTATGCAATCTCGATTATATCAGTATATAATGAAAAATTTTGTGTCAGATTTAATACATTTCACCTGTCAATGTTAAACGGTTAACGTCGGGATTTCATTTTCGCGAAAAGATGAAAAGATTTTCCAATTTTTCGTCTATCTCTCGATCTCATATTTTATACAATTTTCCTCGTACGTTTTAAAGTAAATTTTAGTTGTTTGTTCGATTAATGTTTTCAATTTAAATTTATTCAATGAAAGGAATTAAGTGTAGCTTTATGTTTTATTTTAAATCAAGGTTTATTTAAAGCCGCAGATATCTAAATGTTTATAACAGTATCTATGATAACGTATTGCTACTCGATTTTACAGGCCATCGACCCAGAAAACGATCCGGTATCGTATTCGATAGTGTCGGGAAATGACTTGCGCCAGTTCGCGATCGGCGACAAATCAGGCGTTATTACCGTTATAAGGAAGCTAGATAGGGAGGACCTGACCCGATATCAGTTGGTAAGTCGATATCGTCAACTATTCGAACGTTGTATAGCATAAACTTCCTATACCTTTTGCTACGAACCAACACGTTCTACTACGCTTCACGCTGTTCTCTATTGGCAGCTTTTAATCTAGAAAATATCGACGTACCTGTTTTCCTACCGATGAACAAGTAGAACGTTTTTAACTTCAATTACAATCAGCGTTTATTTTACGTGTATTTTGAAAATATTTCTCTATAATCTGTATAAAAAAAAATAAATTATATATTTCGTTAATTAATTTTAATTTTACGAAAGCTTGCGTAACGGGACGCTGTGGCTCTCGTTGTATATATTTGAAATATTTTTTTTCCTAATGGTCGTGTGTACTTCAATATCTAAGACACTCTATAGTCGTGCAAATTTTGAGACGGAAAAATTACAAGCATATCGTAAATTGCATTATCAATTCGTGTAGTTGATAAAGGCCGAGGACAGCGGTGGTCTATACAGCACTGCGACGGTGAATATCATGGTCACCGACATCAACGACAAGAATCCCGAGTTCGTGGGTCTCCCTTACGAATTTTCGGTCAAGGAGGGCGAAGCGCGTAAAATAATCGGTCGCGTACACGCCGAAGACGCCGACGAGGGCGTCAACGCCGAGATCACTTACTTCGCACCCGATGACATTCCCTTCACCGTCGATCCCGAAACCGGCGATGTTCTGACGAAGATAGTACTGGACTACGAACAGAAAGACGTGAGTAACAGCTTACTACGTATCGCGATTCTCAATATTTTCATTTTATTTATTATTTACGTTTATCATTTATTAACGAGTTAGTATTCTTTTATATATAAAAAGAAAACAAAAATGTATAAAATAATATAGGATATATAAAAATATATAAAATAAAACATTTTTTAAAAATAAATATATAAAATGCATTTAAAATGCATTTAAAATATAAATTAAAACAACTTTAAGATCCTAATTTAATAAGAAGGCTGTGCCTGAATAAACTTGCAGAATTATGAAACAACTCAGTAGGCCCGGAGCATTTGTTAGATAAAATACATATTCGATTAATTGATTAGTTAATGCAGTTATATTTTCCGTGTGTGGAATCCGAAATTCTACATAGAAGACATCGAAAGAACGGATAATATATAGGCTAAAGGCTTTATATTTTTAAAATGTTTTATATTTCTGATACGAAAAGATCGGGAGTGATTTTTTTCACAAATTCTTCGTAAATCTCATGTAAGAAAATTAACGAAGAAGATTAATCTCTGCTTCGCAGAGATTACGTCTCGTAATAGTAAACTCTTCTACGTGAAGAAATAACGTCGAGATATTTCAATGCAGTGGAAGCTTACAGATTTTTAATTTAGTTCAATCTTTTTCAGAGTTCTGTTTCGAGGTCTTAATAGCTTTTCGCATTTCGCTTATATTCGTAAAAGACTACGTTAACGGCATAGTGCTTATACCGCTTATTAAATCCATTTATTACGGATGCAATTATGCGGCACAATCTCGGATCTTCCGGGAATGCTCTGCCGTTTCGCGCAAGTTACAGAACGCGATCACAATTCAAGAATATCGCGCGACAGAAAGACATTAGTTTATATGAATTGTGAGAGGACGTTGTTTACAGCTGAATCATAATTATGCCATTGTGCGCACCGAGACAAAGGGAGCTTGTAAAGTATGCGCGCGAATTAAAGTTCGCGCGACTTTGTTTCGCGGAAATGTCACATGTTATGAGATACCGACGTAATTCCACGTAACATGTATAATGTGATAAAGACACAATGAACCTCCCGTTCCTTGCCTCTAAAGTATTCTAAATTACAAATGCACCAGGTTTTAGCCGTTAAAATCACCTTCCTTGTGTCTTGATATCGTGTTCGTACATTAAAAAAAAGAATTTGGTATACCAAAACTATTATTATAAGTACTAAAATTTGGTGATATTTGCCGACCAAATGTTTGATTACTAACAATCAAATCATTTAGTTTCATACACTGTAAACACTGTAGTTCCGTATATTGTATACTTAATACACGGAACTAAATTATTTACTCGCAAGAATCAAATATCTGCTCGGCAAATATTTACTCAATTTCAGTACTTATTATCAAAACCCTATTTCAACGTAGGCGTGCCACCAAAATCACACATATTGTTTCCATCGTTTGCTTTATAACGTTAAATCGGGAAATTGAAATGCACGACGTTTCTCTGTAATTCCCACGTTGACTGTGCACGTTAAAATCGCGGGCTTTCACGTTAATTACATAGGAATACAAATTCGTGGTGACTGCGAGGGATGGAGCCCCCGATTACCGTTTGGCGACGGCGACGGTTACAGTGAAAGTCATAGACGTCGAGGACGAGGTTCCGGTCTTTCACCAGAGCAGTTACGAGGCGCGTGTCAAGGAAAACGTGCCCGATTACAATGTGATTCAAGTCACGGTGAGTCGCGTGTCAAGTTAAAGCGTCGCATAAAGCGCGATTGAGCAATAAACGCGATGCGCCCAGCAATAAAGACGATCGATTGTACGTCTGTACTTCAATTTCAACGGGCTTAGATTTAACGGAAGTCGAAAGTCGCCCGGCTAAGGTTCACGGTTTAACACGAGTCGTTTGCGCGCACGCGGGGGGGGGTTTCGCCTCGAGATGAAGAGCCGCTATATAGCTCGCTACTCCCCCGTGTACAGATCCAGATCCAGTAACAGATCTAGTGTGAAATTAGTTCCGAAGTGGATCATAATAACATAAGGTGTAATTCCATTGGAGACGCGCCCGAAGACGGGATTCACGCTCTCGGCGTGTGTCTCGAAAGTTTATCGGATAAACAAGAATCCGCTCACTCTCCCGGCTCGACTTTCAGACCCGGCAGATTCAGTCGCGTCGACGATTCCCGTCTCTCATTTTCCATCGGGCGGAAAGGACAGCGGGTCCTGGCGAGATGGCCGTCTTACTCGACTTTAAAGCTAACGCGATCATTTCTAGGCCGATGATCCGGACACAAAGAAGCAAATTACATACATGATCAAGCAAGGGGATACCGAACTCTTCAGCATAGACCCGAAGACCGGACTCATAAAAACTGTCCGCGGTCTCGATTACGAGAAGGATAACCAACACGTCCTCATAATAGGCACCGTTGAGAACACCAGCGATTTACCTGGCTCCACCACTCGCGTTGTTGTTAATGTTCAGGTATTTTTTCACGATTAAAACCGAGTCTCTCTTTTGTCGCGATTACGCCGACATCCCGTCGCCGGCTATTCGTTTATCGCGTCGGTTACTTTAATCCAACATCACGCTGCGTATCGCGCTTAATTACACTCTTAATCAAGTACGGGGAAAAAAAAAACACTTTTAAACGGATACTCTTTTATTAATAATTCCGAGGATTTTCCCCCTGAATATATTCGAGCAACGACGGATATTTCCGATAATCACGCAATTCTTCCGAATTATTGCCTCGCACAGGGACGTCGTAGAGCCAGTACTTTGGCTGGAAATATTCAAACGGGTATCAGTTTGTATATATTCGTCTTAATCCTAGAAATTAATTCGCGGAATGGCTTGGCGAAACCGGTTCACGCCGGCAGAGTGCATCAACATCATAATCGGCGTTAATACGAGTGTTACGGCCGACCGTTTGTCGCGCTTCGTTTCGCGTCCGGTTGTTTTTAATTCAGTTGTATCTTCTTATGGGGCAATTAATAACGTCTCGAACGCGTCGTCACAGGACGTTAACGACATTCCACCGGTATTCACGTCGGTGCCACGTCCCATTACTCTGGACGACGATGCCCCTATAGGCACGAACGTGACTAATCTCGTCGCGGAGGATTCCGACGGCACCGCACCGGGAAATCAGGTAGGTGTATCACTTGGACCATATTTCCCACCCTCTCTCTCTCTCTCCCTCTTTTCCTTACGAATCGCGGCCCGAATCAAGTCTTCACGTGAGATCGCAAACCGCAGGTTCGATACGAGATCATCGGCCGCGGTATCGCCAGCAAATACTTCGCGATCGATGCCGACACAGGCGTCCTCCGGATACGGGACGACTTGCGCAAGGAGACCGACTCCGAATATCAGGTATCATTTGATTCTTCGCACCAGCTTGATCGGCCACAATTCGCTCATCTGCACGAGACAATTTCTTTTTCTCACGATAGATCGATGTACGTGCTTACGACATGGGAGAGCCGCCGTTGTCCTCCGTGACGAGCGTGCCGGTGTTCGTTCGTCACGTGGCGACGGTGCCGCCTGAGATCGGTTTGGGCTTCGCAGAGAACTCGTACAACGTCGATGTGCCTGAGGACGCAGGCGACAACACGCTAATAAAGATAATCACCATCATCAACAGTCACACGCACGACACCACGCCGCTCAGGTGCGAGATTTACAGCGGCAATGAGGCCGGTCTATTCGAGGCGAACATTACGGAGGAACGGAATTGCGCGCTGAGGCTGAAGAAGGGCGCCTTGGATTATGAGACGACGGAATCCTACCAGATCAAGATTAAGCTGGAGTCGCTATCGGGCCTCTTAAACTCGGGCAGAAACACGACAATGGTAAGACACGACAGATCCTCGAATTTAAGAGCCCATGGATAGCGTCGCTTTTGCTTGGCTACCCGATGCATGAATCTTTGTACAAGTCGAATGCATTCGCGTAGACGAGCGAAAAATACGTGCAAAGAAAGATACCGACATAGTGAGGCTTAAGACAGTCGGTCCGTCAAACCATTTTTTTTTCAAGAATTCTTTAAAATGTCAACTGCATATTGATAAAAATGTTATCTACAGAGTAAAAAAGGAATTTATATTATAAACGGTCCACTTATTCGTGTTATTTTAAATGGGGAATGCATTAAACATGCACAAATGTTAACATATTCATCATGTTAAAATAACACATATATTTGGGCCGTTTGTAACACAAATTTTTTTACTATTTGCACGTCTGTAAAGTTAGAAAAGTTGGAAAACGATTGACTATTCGAAAGCTGAGATATGTGAAACCGAATATAGTATTTTTATACGTGTTCTTTCAGGTTAATGTTCTATTTTTAACTTCTCCTAAACCAACGTTTCAAGTTTTAACGAAAAACTACTGTGATATTAAGGCCTAATATAGAAACATTATACAAAAATTTCAGAATTATTGACCATTTTGCTTTGAAAATACAATCATAGGAAATTTATAATTTAAAGTAACACCCGCAATATATGTACATGTACACATATTTAAATATTTATATACTGTTTTCTACGTGTGCATCTCCGTCCATTAGCTCAGCTGACGTATAAATAAAGCATTAACAAGAAAATTAAATAATATCTCTGTGTTTGTAATATCGTGTATATGTCTTAATTCTCTTAAGATTAATACTTATTACGTAGATAGTTAAATAAATTCTAGAAATGTACTTTTTTGTAAATAGTAGACTTATGAAAAAGGTTAATATCGCCATTGAAAATCCGGTACTACGACCAATTAGCTTAACTTATTGCGAGACGAGATCATCGACTCGTCTTTGATCAGGTCCGTTAATGGGAACGCGTTCGATCGTTACTTTGCAGGTGAAGATCCAGGTGCTCGACGTGAACGACAACAAGCCGGAATTTATCTTCCGGGAGACTAGCCAGGGACTTACAAGGGGACGTTATTTCGCGGCAATTCCGCGCACCGCGCAATTTGCGTCCACCGTTGTGCAGGTGAAGGCCCACGACAAGGACAACGGGAAATACGGCAAGCTAGAGTACAGGATCTTGGAAGGACGCGGCTCCAATTACTTCGGCATCGATAGCTCTACCGGCATTATCAGAACCACGGCAACGTTCGATAATGTGGATTCGTCCGAGCTGCCGTTTAAGTTCGACGTCCGCGTGCGCGACAATCCCAACTCGACCGATAATTACAACTCGATCGTCGCCCCGGTGATCGTCAATCTCATCGGCGAGGAGAACCTGATGATCTTGGTGGTGCAGGACGCGGCGCCGGACGCGCTGCAGAAGGAGGCTGGCAAAATAGTGAATTTAATAGAGGAGAAGAGCGGCCTATTGATCGGCATCGACAGGGTCGTGGTGAGGAAGATCCTCACGAAGAACGGCACCATCGAGGTAATCCCGCAGGACTCCGACGTGTGGTTCTATGCGGTCGACCCGGACACCGAGGCCATACTCAACAGAAACAGCTCCAAAGTGCAAAGGTATGTCTTCGAACGTGTGACAATTTTGCTGACGCAACTCGAATTCGAATGACATTTAAAAATTAGCGGCTTACAAATTGTTAGATACTTTTTAGAGACCATAGTAGCATTGAATCGGCCGAAAAGAGTTTGATTCGATTCGTCAAACTTGAATTTGTTGCATTCAATGGAAATATATTTTTCGTTGTATAATCCTTTGCCAAATTCTGATTTAAGATGAGGTCAATGTTTAACACATAGATGCGAAAAGAGGGATCAATTAATTAAATTGTGCTATTTAACTGATTGCGAGAGTCGTAAAAACACTGAATACCCGACAGATCGATCATGGACAAACAGGCTATGTCGAACATCACCTTTGATGTGTCCACGCTGATACGGGCAAACGCTATTAACATTCACGCACCCGTAATACCACCTGAGCCGATGCGAACGCAAACGGCAGTCGCATTCAGCGGTGAGGTGTTCCCGTATGCGCTGATTATAATCGCTTGCGTGATCCTGATTCTCGGTATCGCCGGTATAATCTACATATGCGTCTCTTGGTCCAAGTAAGTGCTCAAGCCTTAATTAAACTCTGCGTTCATATCGTGATGACACTCCCTTGTAATTCTGACACGAGTAATGGGACCTTTCACTCATTTCTTTTTCACTGTCTCTCTAATATAAACAACCGTAATGAATGGATCGACAAACGAACCGAGTGTTCGTTGAATGCAATTGTGAAGTATCTGAAACACAAAATGGAAGGGTATGATAATTATAACTCATTAAAAAATCAAGAATTAAAATTAAACTTTGATAAAGGTAGAAGGTAACCCTAATATGAGATAGGTGGTTAAAGATAGAAATAATTTGCGAAGGAGATCGCGTACATTGATATATACAATTAGCCCCGGGAAAAATAATATTTTATGAGAATTCCGTGAATAATGACTGTTACTGGTTAAGTGGAATTTATCCGGGTTCTAAATTTCTATCGCACGCCTTCCGTATGTTTGTGTGAAAAACATAAAGATCGCGTTAGCGCGCCAGTATTAATTACGGCGGGTGCGCATAGGCCGAGCGATGATCTCGACTATTATTATGGTCGCATGGGAGAGTCGCTTCGCGAGTATCGGTGTGAATATTCATCCGACTCGTTGAGAGAGTGAGCGCGATGCAAATTCATACCGCTTTTTATTACCTCCATTAGCTTTAATTGTGGTTTCCGCTCCGGGTATCTCCGCAAACACTTATTACATCGACGCGACTCGACGTCGCGCTCGCTGTAATACAGCCCTCTTACATCGGTCTGTCCGCGCGACGCGAAATGCGTCGTAGCCCTTCGTGCAGATCTTCACGAGGCAAATGTGTGTGCGACGTAGGTACAAGGCGTACAAGGAGCGAATGCAACGCATGTACGTGGTGCCGCGATACGACCCTGTTTACGTGGAACCGAATCTGAAGGAGTACGAGACCCAGGTACTGCAGATGAGCGTGCCGGTCGACGATAACGACAGTTACAACGACTTACAGCTGGACTTCAGCAACAAGAATCACGCGTTCAGCCTCGACAACGTCAGTTACATCACCAAAGATCACGGAGACAGCACCGGTAATTCGAGATAGATCTCACGAGAAATCATCGTCTTATTTATCACAGCGACAACGAACGAGTATATTAAATTTCACCCCGGCGCAGAATATCCCGTTTAAAAATACATCTCTGAAAATACGAGAGTTACTTATAACTCCGAGCCGATGTGCAAAAAATGCCGAGGTGTAAAAATAACGAAATGAAAACCCACCAGTTTCTTCCGTGAACCTCCCGTCGTTGTCCCTCCACCCCGCCTCCCGTAGTAAAAAGACTCCCACGGGGACGAACGCTTCGGTTTACATTCGATTAAGAAATACAGGGTATGCTTATGTGTCATATCTTAGGTCAACAAAGTCCCGTTAGCTCCGAGGCGGCGACCACGGCGCGCGCGTCCAGCATCGTCGGCAACCACGGCGACACCAACATCCACTCCCTGCGAAGATCCACATTGGGCCGAAAGAATCACAGTGCGAGCAACACGAACACCCTGAACAATCGCGACGCGACACCGGTCCTTAATCCCCTGTACAATCACGGCGCAGACCTGCTGAGTCCTAGTCCGTCCAACGACAACGTCACCTTCAGAGAGCGGAAGGATTACTCTCATCTCGGCTTCACGTATCTGGGCGAGCAGAGCCCCGTCGAGACGACGACGGAGTTGTAAGTTTCGACGATGCGCGAACCGTATCGATCACCTCTCGAAAGACTGTCGCGGAATCGCACGCGTACTCTCCTCGGGCTTCTCCGGCGGGGAGCGAGCCGCGATTTCCCGAGATGATTCCCGAAGTGTATCTTCACTCGCGATATCGCGCACGCGACGAACAACAGCTGTGATGAGCGCGATACCCCGGGCGGAGTTTCGTTGATCCTAAAGATCTCGAGCGTTCGATCCGACTCATTCCGCGCACGGGATTCCCGCCGCTGACCGCGCGTTGCTTCCGGCGGAAGCTGGCGCGGTACTTCCTTCAGCTTCGTGAGAACAACGTCGCTGGAACAACAACACGTGCGGCGTGACGACACGGAATGTGATCGATAGCCGCGCGACCGGTTCTTCCTTCAATACGTCGACAAACCCCCAAAGCGCCATACGAAGAGAGCAATGCGTGAAAGCTTCTAGAGATAGTCGAAGAACCTCCTATATACCCGTACATATTCCCCCCTCCCCCCCCCCCCCCCCCCCCCCNCCTTCTCCTACCCTTTCATATGTCATCTTCTGAATATGTAGCGGTGCTTGCGCGCCGATTCAGAGCGTCAGACGCGTCTCGCGCGGAGAATTCCCGGCGGTATACATTCTGAACGAGATACTTCGTATATGTGATATTCATAAAAGAGGGAAGTAATATAGCGCTCAAACATACGCACACACACACACACACACACACAGAATGGCGAAACGAGGCCGCGAAAGTATCGGCCGGCCGAGAGAAAGAATGAGCGCGAGTGAAAAGGCGCCGCTGGGACGTCCTGAGTTCTTAAGCCAGCCGATATCCTGCACGACTTATGTCCCGTCCTGCATCGCGAATTGCCGCGCGATTCTCTTTTTTTCTTCTTTTTATTTAAGCTACTTTAAGCTCGCGAGACGTTACGCCAATAAACTGCGACGTCGCGCGCAATCGCCATTGTTGACGTCGCGACGTCCGCTTGTTGTAAGTTATTACACATCGCGTATTCGTGGATTTTGTACAAGCGTCCGATTTAATCGCGTGTTCCCCGACAGGGCGACGTCGACGATAATTCTCCTCACGGGGAGGACGCGCTCGTCGAACGGATTATTTCCCGTCCGCGATGCGTTTTAACGTGCGTTTTCAAACCGAGTTTCAGTCGCGGAGCGGCGAAGATGCGCCCACTGCGCCCGTGCAATCGTCCAACGTAGACTTAGGGATTTTTCCGATGAAGTTATGTCTTCTTTTTTTTTTTTCTTTTATTTACACGAACGACGTATGTATTTGTGAGTGTGTGCCTGCATGAATCTCATCGGTCTGCGAACCCGCGAATGATCCCGAAACCCTGTTGTACTATAATACTTGTTTATTTATACGACTGCGTTTGCTCACGTCACTTCACCTTATTGTAATCACAATTAACCGACGACGATACCGTCCAGAGGTCGATCGTCTCGCGTATACGTAATCGCGACCGACACCGTAGGGAGTTTTACGGCGGCGTTCGCTTCCATCCAACGCGACTCCTTCTCGCTCTTGTTCACACGATCGCGTTAATTAGCGGCCGCCGCGCGAAAACGGCAGTAAACGGCGCGTCATCGACACGCGTGTTTGAGCGGTGAAGCGTGCGACTTTTTAAGGCCGATTCCCACTATACTACGGCGAAAGATCGGTCAAAGCACGGCCAGATCGCAGTCAAGTCGCGGTCATGAACTTTCCACGCCATTAACACCTTTCGATCCTCTAACGACCTCCCGTCGGTCAGTTTTGCGGCGCCAACCGTGTCGATAAATTGCTTTAAAATGCTTCCCAAATATTCGCTTATCCTAAAATCGGCTCAATTTTGGACGACGAGAACAGATCGTAGAAACGTTTAAAAAGAGAAAATACGTGTTTGAGCACATCAGATAGTAAGGAAATAGAAAGAAGGAGAATTCACGATTACATCCAGAAATTGTAAAACAATTCTGACAAGACGAAATTTTTGCAACTATTCGTAAATATATATATTTATAAATCTATATTATTTTATAAATATTTCTCGTCTACCCAGACGAGGAAGATGAGTTCCCCTTCATAATTGACCGTCTACCGACCGTCTGCTGATTGTCTTTTGACCGTTTCGCATTCTCACTTGAAGACTACTGTGATCAGCCCGCGGTCTAGATTCCTTCCGAAGGATCGTCGCGCTCCCGTGACCGTCGTTTGACTTGACCGTGACCGACCAGCGTGAATGGAAACTTGAAAAAGCACTGAATTCAATGGAGACGACATTTGACCGGGTTGCGAGCTGACCGTGATCTGATCGTGACCCGACCGATATTGTGAATCGAGCATTAAACGGACACGCTTATGTATGTGTTCGTGTTCTCTCCCGAGTTTCGAACGGCGTTGCTCGACTCTCGTACGCGGAATTCCGATGGACGCGCGAGGATGACCCGCCGGCGTGACGACACGGCGTTGAGAGGAATTCATTACGATACGACTTGATTAAATATATATCTCTAGTCGTATATATCGAATGTGTGTCCACTGCCGTACAATTCGTAAGTTGCGTTTCATTTACTATAAAAAGGAAAACCTTTGTATGCGTTACAAGTGTTCTTCGGTCTATAGCGCGTTGAGAGAGATCTTTACTCGTAGCTGTACAATATTTCAGCGTGAAACCTGTAAAAAATTGTTAATATCTAATAATAAATTTATTATATTTACATAACGACGGGACTTTTTTGATGCGTTCGATACCAAGCACGCACTTACGCGCGAAGCAACGCGAGTCGCCGCGTTATTAAATGTTAGTTAACTTCGGGAAGGGTTAATTCAATTTCGCTCGAGTTTCCGCGCGTTTTAATTACACGCAGCTCCGTTCAATTCCCACGTAAGATCTCGCGCATTCGTTTCACACGCGCGAGCTACGCGTAGTAGTCGTGGCAATGAGCGCAAGATACAATAGTGAGCTTTGCCCTCGCGGACGTAATCCCCGTAACTTTGTCGCCCTAATGGTACTTCCGATGTGCAATTCCGGATGATTCAGTTCTTAACAGCGACATTACGCCACAGACAACTACTTGAGAGGAAATCCACGAAATATCTTCTATCTCTTTCTAACTTTTTTTTCTACCCGTCCTTGATATCGCACGAATTCTTCCTTTCCTTCCAGCTCGTCTATTCTTATCCCTCTTATTTTTTCCCCCGCGCATCCTAACCCGCTTATACGTCTCCTTTGTCGTCCCCAATTTCCTCCGCACGGACAAATTCACCCTCTTCCAATTCACCCTCACCGAGTATCCTCCCTGCTCCGACAATTACGAGAGATTCTCACCGTCTCTATCTCCCGATCCTTCCTGTTATACCATCAGCGATATCATCAGCCTTTGTCGACACTGATTATCAGTCGCATACATTAAACTTTACCCGGGTTTAATCGATTTACTATACGTGCGCGTGTATATGTGCGTACGTGTGTGCGTACGTTGTAAATCGATGAAAAGCAGCTAAAGGTTAATAGGGACTAACAGGCAGCTTATCGATTCGTTCCGCAAATGTTCGGGAAAAAATAGACATTTCTCATCACCTCGGAAATGATATTCGCGAGCTCAGCCGCGCGAGACTTTAAACGAGAACGAATTATTATATCCGGTGCGTGTTGCTGCACAATGAGTACCTTCACACCCTTAAAGAGCGGGCTCGTAGGCGAGCCCGTCGACGGGATCGTCCTCGATTGCGGGCGGGGATCAACTATGCTCGGCGATAGAGCGTCGGCGCCGCGACGGCGGGATCACGCAGACGCGTCTGGACCTGCGTCGAATGTCGGCGGACGCGAAACGGGAGGCGAAATCCGGAAGGCAGACGTTCCAGCATCGCGCAGATGGCTCTCGGACTGTCCGTGGTGACGGCGCACTAGTCCTCTCGCGATCGACGCGTAAAACCCCGCGGGATAAGGCGCAACGAAACAGCGTCGGCGTTTACGCACGTGAGTGTCGAGGTTTCCATCGATCCCACGGTATCGACGAGTAACAGGCGGGTCCGTCCACCCTGTAGGTTCTCTCTCCCGCTACGTTCGCGAACGCGGCGTCGCGACGCCCTGTGACGACACATCCCGAGCGCGAACCGGAGCACCAGGAGCCCAGGCCGCAATGACGTATCGTTCGAAGATCGCGAACCACCTGTGAATCGAGACGCGGGAGTACCTCTGGGATTATGAGCGTGCGTCTGAGTTTGTGATTCCACTCGGTGTAATTGTGCGCCGAGCGATCGGTGAAACGTATTACAGTGTGTGACAGTTACGGAGCAGCCCGGTAAGATATCGTAGCGGGTGACGGACGTTGCTCTCGAGTAGGCTAAATTCACTCGTTACTGACAGGTGATGTCTACTGGGTGACTCGACTCGACAAGTCCGTGTAGTGTTTCAATGGATTTATAAAACCCTGTCTGTAATATTTGTAGAAATTCTCTCCACTGCAGCTGATACTACAGTTTGTTCGATAAGGGGACGAAAGCCAATTGGTTGCAGATAAAGCCTGCTCGTAAATATATCCCTCCTCCCCTTCTAATTATAGTTAAATTTTATAGATTTCTAGAGAGGGAAAGTAACATTGTCTATTGTGCTTTTGCTAATGTTTAGATTTAACAGCCAGCATTATTCTCCAAAGCTTCACCCTCGTTCAATACCGTCCTGTGAGAAGGATCGAAAATAATAAGAATAATTTTTCTAGAAAGATTCTGTAAAAAATTGTTCATATATGTGATAGAATATCCAACTGTTCAATTATTTAAAAGATTATACCTGGCAAATGTTATTACAAACGAAGGAAAAAGGTTTGGGATTATTTAAAACAACGTTTTCAGAGAACATACGTAACTCGCGTAAAATTCAAGTGAAGTGTACTTCAACATAATTATCACCAATATTTCACGGATAATATGCTCATCTACTTAAAGTATTGGAGCTAAAAATGCGTTAAAACGACAGAGGTGTAAATCCATATATTATACGCACATATTAAAGTTAAAAAAGGATCCTTTTATATATACATTATTTACATAATCCGTCCAATAAGAGTTGATATCACATATTGAAGCTTAAAAACTGGACAATGTTATATTTGCAGATTGATGACTAGTTGGAAGATCAAGGATAACAAACATGAAATACTTGAAAGTCGCGTTATTCACGTTCAATCTAATGATATGGGTAAATAAAAAGCTTTCTCTCACCCCCTTTCTTTCTTTCCCTGCGCGTCATGAAATTATAAAAATTACCGTTTGCGCATTAATTCCACACTTTTCTGAGAAAAACGTCCGCCTCTTTCGCACTTCCGCGCGATCTTTAGAGGAAATTAAAAATTCAATTAGACGTAGCTCAACTTGATTCAATGTCCATTTAGCTTTTTAAGAAAACGGTTCTTTCTCCGACAACCTACCTTTCTCCACAAATCTACGAACAGCCAGACGTAACAGTGTCGTGTGGTTTCTTTGACAGTTGGCCGGCTGTACGGTACTCGTTCTAGGCGCGTGGTTACTCCTGGAGCCCAGTAAGGGAGACATCCTCAACCTGTTCGTACCTAACGCCCAGCCGCACGAGACTATTAATTTGCTGGCTTACAGCCTCCTCGGGCTCGGCTTCACCGTGCTCACGGTCGGCTTCTTCGGCTGTCGCGCCGCGCTACGCGGAAATCAATGCATCATCGCCACCGTGAGTAAAAGGACACTTTTATCGTCCCCGACGTTCCGTTATAAATCTTGGGCCAAGGTCGGTGATGTTTTTGTTGTCGTCGTTCCCCAGTACATGAGCATGTTGGTCGCGCTCATCGTCACAGAACTGGTGACAGCCGCCATCGGCGGGCTGATGACTTTCCAAATCTTGTCCGACCTCGAGGGGAGGCTCACCAGCAAGCTGACGGCCGACTACGGTCACGATTCGACCAGCGACATACCCTTCAGCCAGAGCCTGGACTTCGCGCAATATAAGGTGTCCCGTTGATCGACGATCGTTCATCGCCCTCGGGATTTCTTTTTCTCGCGTGACGTCTTTGCTGATCGCTTCTTCCTCTCATATATTTTTACCCGAATCTTCACGGGAAAAGAATAATTTTGCTGTTGCAGCGAAACCATCGTTGCTACTGCATATTCGTTTCGACAGCGATAGAATTTAATCGACGCACAACCGGATTAGTTGGCATAACGAATTATTCGTAATTGGAGCAGCTTCGTTGCCAGAAAATATTCTGCTAATTGAATTTGTCCTTAGGACACGTTAACTTGCTGTCGTAATAAAATAATGTTTTCCTACATTTACTGATTTGCTTTCACAGCAAAATAATTCAGCGAATGGCAATTAGTATTTTTAACAAATCATTTTTCTGTCCATACAGTAACTCAGATTTTGCTGCGACAGCATAAAATTTACTGTGTCAGCAAATTAGGTTTCTCCGTATTCCTTTGTGACGCTCCTGATTTTATTTTAACGCGAATTCTTCCGAATACACGTGTTCTTTATAACTTTGCATGATTTCAGACGTTAATTCCGAGTTATCCCGAGAACACACATTGCAATTAACTTTCTGTGCATCACATTGCAGCGAAAAGCGAATTTACATACATATGCGAAATATATTTTTTTATTCGACATTATTATGTGTGTTTAAAAATGTTTCGTCTCGGCGTTTTTTGTTCCGCGGCACACATTATGCGCTCATAAGTTGCGTTTCGCGCATGAGCGGGTCGCGCACAACGCTTTGTCAGAAATCGTATGCTCGGCGAGGCATCCTGCGATGCTTCGGGGAGCATATAGATAATTGCGTTGCAGTTTAATTGTTGCGGAATTTACGGCGACGAGGATTATAATGGCACGGCCTGGTGGAGGGATGCGCAAATCTCGGGGAACAAGAGACAGGTTCCTCTAACGTGTTGCGTGCTCAAACAAACCGAGGTACCTCTCGTTCGGGACTTATAATATTTTGCCAATTAATAATACCAGCGCGTGATTTAATTCTTATTGCTTGATATCTCATTAATTCATCACGAATTGCGAATAAAAGCGAGAACTCTTGCAGAATAAAAATACGGGCAGCCCGATGAGCGTCGTCTCCAGGGTTTTTCACAAAAATGTGAGTAGAAAACAGCGACAAAGCGAAATGCGTCAACTTTGTATGAGTAATCTTTTGTCGCTGGCAGAACGAAAAACCATGGCTGCATCCGCAGCCGAAGGATGAGGCCGCGTGTCAAGTAGGAGACAGAGAGGGTCACGACGGATATAGACACAAAGAAGTACGCTTCGTACCGTAAAATATCCGCCGCTTTAGATCGCATCGCCGTGTACATTTCCAATGACATGATGTGTTTTGCAGGGCTGTCTCGGAAAAGTCACTACCTGGCTGCAGTGCGAGAGTTTCACGCTGGTGTTTCTCGGAATGGCGATGGCAGGGATACAGGTGAATCTTCTTGATGTACAATATTATTTATTTCCTATAAAGAACAAGATAGAATGCTGCCGAAACGACATGACTTGGCATTCAAAGGTTTATGAGATTCCATTTAAGGGATTTCCTTTGAGATTCTATTTCGAGATGAGCTTTTAAAGAGAGAGAGAGAGAGAGAGAGACTTCGCCAAATGTATTTGCAGAATTCACGTGTAATCTAGTGCGCAGATCGTAGAGCTCCGTCTGAGATATTTTCAAACAATAAATTTGTCGATTAATTTCTCTTGAAAATACGATTTCGGTGTACCTTTCACGAGGAAGAGAAGTAACGATGTAAATGTATTTTAGACATTCGGAATAATAACGTCCGCCTTCCTCTGCCGCACGATAAGGGATATGCAGGATGAATGATCCATCATTCGCGACCTCAGTGAAGTGAAAAGAATGTCGCGGCATTGACAACACTGAGGCGAAGAGAACAGGAGAAGAAACATATTCATTTTGTATTTTCGTGTATCGAAACTTCGACAACATTTTTGAGCTTTGTTTCGGTCTTGTGGGGAGTCGGGACAATGACGGGACTCGCCGAATCGCGATCGAAAAATCTCGCGGAACGAAAGTAATCCGAATTTTTGTTCCATTCCGCGAAGTGTATGACCGTAGTGAACTTTTAACGTAAGACATAACGATAAGTGCTACGCTTGATCGATACCTTTAGATTACTCTCACTTGTGCGCACGTTTGCCGCGCGACGTTCTCGAGTCAGCGAGAATGTGACCAATACCACTCCGCTGTATATACATGTGTCAATATACGGTTTTTAGAATCGGAGCAGTGTCGGCCCAGTACTGGCGTAATATCTAAATGAATAAGGGGTCTGTTCTTCGTTGCTGATCTAGTGCGCACTTTCCAAATTAAAAAAGAAACAGATATATAGCTGCGACTTCGTGTATAAAGAAGGGAGAAATAGAACTAGTGCAAGCTCGTGCAGCCAGTTCAGTTACAAAGAACATGCCTAAGGTCGGGCCAACGTACCAGTGTCGATGCGACACTGGTCATCGACATCAGCCCGACGTTGTGTTGCGAGCAAGAGTTGGCCAACCTTTCTCGAGCTGATGTTGCGCCGCGATCGGATATCGGCTTTTTGCGAGCGGCATCTCCGGTCCGCCCAATGCCGCTGGCCAAGTTTGAAGGCAACGTGTTGCTTCGTCGGTGGTACTTCCGGTGCCCACGTAAGAATCGACTACCTTGTCTGGACCGACAACGCGATCGAATAATAACAGTCGGTTTGGCGTGATAACGCCGACATCGATCCGAGAATCGGATATCAGGCGAGAGTCGGCAAATCGTTACCGCATCTTTGTCGTGTTCAATTCAAGTACTGGCAAGTCGCGATATTACGACAATATCTCCGTAATCTCGCGAAGATCACCGGCAAGGCTCGGCCGAATTGTTAGCCGTGAAGTTTTCACCATGTTGTAAATACATATATAACGGTGCCAAGATGTCAAGCGACTGAATACATGCGATGCGTACGTGAGAACTTTTGGTCCTTTTTCCTTTTTTCTGGGAAATTTACCTAATTCGAGACGCGAGATCATTTTTAACGTTATACATGCATTTTTGGAAAGATATGTTTTTTTAATAAATACCGTTTATATGAGTGTATGTAGAGGAGTTTGAGGCTTAGTGGGACAAGTAAATATATAGTCAAAATGACACCCAGGAGAATTTTTCTAGATACAGCGTTAGTATGTTAAAATAATATTGTCTCCTGTAATTGTACGCGTTGAATTATTTAATTGTTTAACCAGCCGAGTTTTTTAGCTATAGATATGCGCGGCTGGAAAGATCAGGAAAAACAAAATTTCTTTTGTTTGGGAACATGTTATTAAGTTCTCATTTCCCAGTAAACACCAAATAATACAATATCGATGTTTAGTGTCCGACATGTAAATAATGTAACTGTTACATAATACACTGTGTAATATCGATGTTATGTTATTGATACTTGGTGTTTACTAGGCTGTCTATGTTTAATTAATCTAATATAATTGAAGTTTATAATAATGCCGAAATAATCTTTCTCCAAGTCTTTTGGCAATTAGAAGTAAGAAGAAAGTTTAAAAGAAAAATACACGCCCCTTCTCTCTCCCCAATCAGCCACATTCTTCTCTAATATAATCGTGTGTACGTGTGTATTAGATTCTTATAGATATTTATCGTCCATTTTATCTGAATGGATGAGATGCACATATATATATATATATATATTCTGTAATCAAGGAAACGCTTTCCTCTCCAAAACTAATTTTTGAAGAATGTATTATGATAACTTATGCCAAAGGAATTTATTGTATAATGAGTGATACAAATTTTAATATATTTTTATTTTATCAAGACGGCTGGCAAGAGAGAGAATTATTCCGAGTGTTTATAGAACGCGTCATAATGATAATAAAGATGTTCTCTGTGCAAAATGGTATTTCCACTCATTTCACATTCTTCACAATATAATTCACCACAATATATTATATGAAAAATACATTAGTTAATATTATATTATTACTATACTAAATTATTAATATTACGCGAATTTTGTTTAAATTCGAGATTGCGTATTTTAGGTAGAATTTACAGATATTACTACAATTAATATGTAGATAAAAGGAAATAACGTTTACGTACGCGGTACACCATGTACAATTTTAAAAAAGCAAACACCAATATATTACGATTTGCTCTCTTCGTAGAAATAAATATCACGTTCGTTCAGCGGTTGAACCGGCCGACAATTTAGAAGTAACGGACCATCTACTGAGCAGATTTTTCGGAATCTCTCCACCTACGATATAAGATTATGTACATCGTGAATTATCAAATTGATAGCAAGCAAGTATCTTAGCAGCTTCAACGTGTAGCTCTACCTGCAACGCAGATATAACGATCGGTTCTTTTTGGATAATCCATGTGACGATTTCGCTGCAAGGAGGTTGACTGAGCGAACCGTTGTATGTATAGTAATCTCTGTCGAAAGGTGCAAAAATCCATTCCAACGGGAAAGGTGGTATATTGACCTTTGAATTCGGTTTGATAATTCTCCACAAATTACTCACGATATGATCCAGATAAGGATTATCCATAGCGCTTACCTATGATATTATCGAGCATAATACAATTAAATGCGATTACGATAAATCACATCGTTCACGTGTGATATATCTAAATTGGTACAATCGGAGAGTGTATTCATTGGCCTTTCGATAAAATTACGTTATGAAGCATTCACTAATAGAAAAAAATCGTACTTGGAGGAAAAATGAAACAATCACTATTCCGTCTCTAGCTCCGAGAATAATCGCGTCTTTTGGCGACTTAATTCCGTGCTTTATGTGGATAACTTGTAGCTCCATGGGAAAACGTATGTAATCTAAAGTGTGTTCGCTGCCTTCTTGGTTACAAGGACCCCAGTGGAAGAGAATATTGAAAACATCATATTTATTAGACAAAGGTCCTCCATGAAGCTGAGGCCAGGAGGTCTCTGTCCAGATTCCTCGAAGTGTTACTATAAATTAATATAAATGATTAAACATATATAACAGGAAGAGCATGTTATATAATTTTAATGAGCACTTTGTATAATTCTAAAGAGCATGTTATATCATTATATAATTCTAATTAATCTATTTCATTTAATCATGTTGTAAATTCACAGGCAGTACATAATGAAAAATTTAATGGGAATTTCTGGGAAAATTATGGAGAAAAATTCCCCATAATTTAGTAAAAATTTATTGCATAATTTTATATGTAAATCGAATCATAGGCAACATTTGTTTTTTCTCCGTACAAATGTTTCAGGTGAAATAGAAGCAGGGTCTAATTAATACTTGTCATATTGATTAATATTAGTCAGTATGTATCGATAATGATCTATCATTATTTAACTTAATAATCTATTATTTGTTAATAATAAATTATATATCCAGTTATTACAATAAGCGGCTAATGGACTTTTCCTGTAAATGCTTGGGACAAATCAATATTTGCTATTTGCGCTGCGAAATTATTTGTGATTCGTAAAATATTAAAAAAGTTTGTAAAATATTTTACCAGTGTGCCCGTCATTTGAGAGGGACATTGACAGAGGGCTGCTGTTATAACTGCTCCATCGAAGCGGCTCGGATGGTTGTACTACTATTGCATATCTGGTAGAGATATTGATAGGTGATTGATTGTTACCGGCGCTTTCAGGATATAGGTCTTTCCAAGTATGTGGGCCATTCTTGTGAGCGTATCCGAACGAAAAAGTCGGAAGAATATTCTCGTCATTTTCCGGCCATGTGAATACTTCTATCCAATCCACGATTTCGAATAGTAGAAACACTACAGCGAAAGAAAATTTACCGTGACATCATCAAGATCTTTGGAATAACACGAATAAAATTTAAATATTCTAAATATCACAAAAATATGGACTGGTAATTATTTAGACATGTAAAACTATCATTATAATAATAATCCAGATTTTAAACACCGCTATTATTTTACTTTATATTATTTTATGTAACTTCTCCAATTTTGACAAAAAAAATTCTCAATATTCGGAGGTTACGATGTATATTATCTGTATAATTTTTCTTAACTGTAAAATGAACTATTCATAATTTAATCATCACATCTTATTTTCTTGTGATACGCACCTAAAAGAAGAGTGCAGCAACCCGCAATCAGACTTTCCGTTAACGAGCTGTCTAACATTTTTATAATAATATTTTATGGGACATTCGAGTCATACAACTTCGAACTCGTTATTAAAACCACGCGTTGCGTATGATTGTATGCAGGTAAACGGTTTACTTCAAAATTTCTCCGGCATTTCGTGCCGTAATAACTTCTGTCAAGGATACTTTCACAAAAATATAAAATGACATGGAACGTCAAATGACGGTTTACTTAATCTCGAAAATCGATGAAACACACTTCAACCTGCAAGGACAGCATGAAGGGAGCGCGAAGATGGTTGCAATATCCAATCAAAAGTAACATGTCCCATTTGAAAGCAATAGATTTTTAATTTTATCTTATCATTTGCGTGCGAAACTCCGAAATTGCAATTGTAATATACAAATGACTTCCAAATCCAAAAGCGTACGATCACGTAAGAAAATAATCATGTATGCTCGACACGTACATTTCTCTTAACAGTTATAACGATTTTATTACAAATACTTATTTTATATACATTTACTTCCAAGTACATACGTTTCACGTGTTTATCTCATAAAATAAATATAATTTCATGTTGTACATAAGGAGAAAAATTACAAACGACATCATCTTCGGGTTTACCGAAATGGCGGCAATCACCAATTGACATCAGTCCAGTCGCCGTGTGGACGAAAAAATTTCCACCCTTACTTTTGACTAATTATTGGTCGAACGATGGCACAGCGATACTCACAAATACTGGCAAAACAGGTTATTTCATTTTATTTTTGATAAAGTTTGGAGATCACTGTGCTGCATATTTATACACGTTTTAATAATTTCTAGTTAGTATTGAACTGATGGACAGAAAAATGCCGATAATGCGTGGCGGTCCTTTGAAAAATGATGAATTTCAATTTATCAATGTACAATTCCGATGGAGCTCCTACAACTCTCGTGGCGCGGAACATTCAATCGACAACGTTTGGTTAGAGAAATTAATTTAATGTCTTAATTAATAGGAGTTAAAAAACAACGTGCGCAAAGCACTGAGAAAATACATTCATCGCATATTTAATTTAGATTTCGTTTAATTAAAATCTCACACATTCCCACAATCTCACAAACTGCATGAATATCGTTCTTTTTCGAGTTTTTTTGTGAGGTCAATATAATTTTTAAATGGTATGTGAATTCTTTCTCAAAAAGGTATTCGATGGAGGCGCAAGTTATGCATTGGAATATGCGTTATGGTTCAATCGACAAATGCTATGACAAGCCTGATGGGATTGCAATACTCTCCTATCTCATGCAGGTATAATAGTAAAGAAAAATTAAATGAAAATTTGGCTGAAAAGGCATACCAGGAATTATACAATTTTCCAATAAATCGAACATTTCTGCGTAAGCCATTATATTCTAGACCATTGTTATCATTCATAATAGATATATATTTTTTATGTAAAGGTCGTTGGCTGCCCTGGAATTTCAGATAATCCTGCGCTCGCTCCGATCACTGACAAGCTGTCGGAAATAAAATACATGAATAGCACTGTGAATATTAAGCCGGGTAATCCTAAAATGCGAGGCAGTTTTAACGAACGAAATAAATATATATTAGTATCTGCTGAAAAATAGATCGCTTTTTCTGCGGAGCTTTCCATCTTTTTCTTTTCATTACTTTCAATTACCAGCAAAAATAATAACTTTCAACAAATTAAAAATTTTATATAACATATTTTTGTTCTTATAAAAAAAAAATTAGAGATACCTGAAAATTTTATTAAAATTTCCTATTTAACGCGATTTTTAATAAAAACATTAGATCGGAAAGTTTTATCAATGAAATATCAATATTAATATCTGTTAATTAATTATATAATTATATTTCGCAGATTGTTTACGTTGGATGACGCATGCACTTATGTGCTCTACATATTATACTTATTCAGGTTCGCTTACCTTTCCCCCTTATAACGAATGCGTTACTTGGATAATTTTGCCGAATGCGATAAGAATATCTCTCTGTCAGGTATTTAAGAAAAACATTAATCGGATTAAAAAAATTATGCAATTAATAACGCTACTTATCTATTATCATTTGCATCCTGTAACAGATAGAAGCTTTCAGAAGTCTTTATGATTACAAATCTAATCATATAGTGAGAAACTATAGATCGCAGCATTTTCTTCATGGAAGAAGAATTTTTTTCGCCACAGATGATGCAATAAATTATGATCAATCAGAAACTTAATTACATTAATACTATTATTCTTCAACATCTTGTATATATATTGGCCAACTTCAAGGATCAATAATTTGATGAAACCAATAAAACTTGACAATAACGGGATAATTTCAGATCGTCGTCACGTCATACAAAATTTTATAGGTGTTATCTTTTTGGTAAATTATTTTTAATTAATGAAATAAAATGACAAGTTACGTAGACGACACTGGTAAGTAAGTAGTAAAAACAATCATATTGTACTGATGAGTTATCAGGTCATATATATTGAGTATGTATTAGTTAGTATGTTATTTTTATTTTATATTACACACAGTAAAATATTAATCCAAGCTTCAGAACAATGTGGTCAGTCACCGATCGATCTAATTGACAAAATTGTGCGTCCTATGAGATTTCCACCGTTAATTATAAACGGGCATTGGCTAAAAGATGGAAATGCAACTTTGTTTAATGACGGCGTAACAGGTGATTTAGTTCATTATAATAACTGTAATATATATAAATCTGTTTTTTTTTGCTGAACTGGCTACACTAGCTTGCATTAATTCTTCTTCTTTTCTCTTTTTTTTTTTCACTAAGTCTTAAGTGTATATCTATCTTTTTTTAGTTATATAAGTGTACACTAATTCAGCAAAACAAAACAGATTTAACGTAGCTTTTGCAATCGATTGGGCTTGATAAATATCTTCCTTCGTCGTATCAGCGCGAGTTTCTCTCAGTGGTGATCGAATCCCATCGACAATATCCGGTGGACCGCTTATGAATGATGAATACGAATTTTACGATGCGCATTTTCATTGGGGCGAGGAAAATTGCAGAGGTGCTGAACATACGATCAATGGCACTTGGTAAGAAAATATTATCTCGCGAGAAGGCATATATGTATTAGATACATTTAGCTACTGCCTCTTTGGATCGACTATATTCTTCTTTCGAGAGAAATAATCGTCAAATTTATTCTGGAATTATATGTCTAAAAATATCATAGGTTTTCTATGGAATGTCACATGGTACATTGGAATCGGAAATATTTAACTTCAGACGAATGTCTAAAACGTAGGGACGGTTTTTGCGTTTTAGCCTATCTATTTCTGGTTTGTATTTTTTATAATGTATTAAAATTTATATTCGTTTTTATAAATGAATTTGTCTTGTAGGTGCAACCAGGATCTTGTCAGTGGAATAATATCAAATTTGAAAGGATCTCGGAAAATTTAAAATACATTCAGAGCGCTGGCTCAGAGACGAAAATTCCACCAAGTGAATGTTCAGAAAATAGAGATTCATCTAATATGATATTTTAGATCAAATGACACTTCCATAATTTCAGATTCTCTATCTTGGATGCGAATAGCAACAGATTGTCTGCATTATTATACGTATCATGGATCCTATAATTTAGATAATAATCGCTCTGATAATCCCGAATGCGCCCAATGGATTGTGTTTCCAACCATTATTCCGCTACAACTGTGTCAAGTGAATTATTTCTGCATATTATACGACTACAATTAATCAACTAGAAAATTACGATGATTACTGTATGACGGGAATCTCTATCAATTCAAAATTATTATGAATGCTTATAAACTTTCTTCTAAGAATACATAATGTAATATATATATAAATATATTAATAAAAATTTCAGATTAACGAATTTCGGAAGTTAAAGGACAAAAATGGTGAATTCATAAAATCAAATCGAAGGGATATTCAGCTTTTACGAGGGAGAAAAATATTTTTAGTAGTCTCTTAATAAAAATACTTGTATATTTTACTTTAATTTCTATAATCTACTGCACATATATCTTTAATATTTCTCACTTTTTGTAATATATTCTCCTATAACTCAATTAAAATATAAAATATAAGTATAATGTTTTAATTTTCATAAACAGTTAATTTTTTAAATTCTACTAAATCTTTTATTCTCTGCATTTGACGTAGTGACTTTCATATTCTTTCCGTCTTTTCGATTCGTAAGCGTTACACATATACGCATATTTATTTCATTTTAAATTTTTACAAAATGAAAAAATCACACGATGTTTTCAAATATACTACTTCGCGCAAACAGAAATGATTGAATATTGTGTTTACAGCAGTTACATGAATCCATCAGTCAGTAGCGCATATCGCGGTGACACGTTGCATCGACATGAGCTCGTTGACAGGTGCAATATATATAATTTAATATTGCACTGTTCATAAAAAACTATATAATGAAAACATCGATTTTTTAATTAGATAATTATGAGCGCAATAAAGAAAATGTTCAATTGATACAAGAATTGGCTAGCATCGAGGGTAAATTGGAATCGCCGATCGATTTGAATATCGGCTATATGAGAGTCATAGAACTGAATCCTTTGCAGTGGTGCAATTACAACGTCATGCCGAAGAAATTAAAACTTACCAACACCGGATATACTGGTAAAAAAAAGACAAAAATTCGTATTCAATAAAATATTATATATATCATTGTGACCAATATTAATATGATTAATTGTGCACGCAGAATGAATAAACTATTATTTATGTAAAATGATTTACATGTAAAAATGATTGTACTTACTGCTCATAGTGATTCTTAGTGCGAAATGGGAAACAGAACGGCCATGTCTGCGTGACGGTCCTTTCGCAAGCAGTTATACTTTCTCGCAAATCCATTTCCACTGGGGCGAGACTAATATGGACGGAAGCGAACATCGAGTTGACGGTGAAAGGTTTCGTTTTGCTTCCTTAATGAATTTACTATCTATGCTTGTAACGTACATTTATCCGTACCCTTAATATAAATGCATTCATGCAAAGTATGCCAATGGAACTGCACGCGGTGCACTTTAAGAGTGATTATGAGACCCAAGAAGCGGCTCTTCGTAGAGACGACGGCGTTACAATTTTAGTGTATTTATTTCAGGTATAAAAAAAGAATTATATAAAGAAAAATAATTTAATTCTCATAAATAAATAATTATCATAAATAAAAACATAAATAAATCATTAAAATTAAGAATTTTAATGGTATAATTTTATGAAAAATAATTTCTAAATTAGATTACTTTTCTCTGTATAATTATTTCACAGAGGAAAATATGTGTTTTTAATATGTTTCAAACCAAGTGCTTTGAAAGGAGAACGGCAATATCCTGCGCTTAAACGTTAAGAAAACAATATGCGTACGTTGAATAATATTGTTTTATAGTTACAGGCAAATGCTAATCCACTTCTGGATAATATCTTGAGGACACTGCCTTTTGTCCAAGCAGCTCATTCTTCTGTCCGTTTAACGCCCTTCCTCGTAACGAACATTATGCGATGCTTTCAACGCGATTACTTCGTATACTGGGGATCCGTGAAGATGATAAGTTACAGGAACAGTGTACTTTGGGTAATAAGCAGAAAGCCGGTTGGAATATCCATGGAGCAAGTAAGTCACGTCGCAGTGAAGAATTTACCGTTAAGCGGTTTAGCGATTATTAGATGAGCTAGTTTGTCGTATGCACTAATGGATAACTAATGGATGGAGCCATAAATAAGTGTCGTCTCTTTCCTTTCCTATCTCTCCGCAAATATTTAGAAAAAATAAACGTTCGCTGTTTTCGTCGAAAATTTTTTTATAATCCGCCTCATGATAATTCACTTTGAAGTAAAACCCGATTTCGTTCTTCGAGGTTGCACAGTTCCGCACACTGTACGACGAGCGCAAAATGCCACTTTTGAAAAATTGTCGGCCGCTGCAAAATAGAAGCAATAGGAACGTCTTTCATGTATGTCCTAGTGGAACTACACACGCAACGCTTCTGCCCATTCCACGTCATTACAGTGACACATGTATCCAGGGACATGTTGCTGACAATGACAAGAATATAACGTGATATATTGATTAAATTACATATTTATAATAATCATAGAATGTAGATTACGATTATTAGTGGATCCACTAAGTTGCTGTCATTGTTACTGACAAATATAAATCATATGCGAAAGTGCTCGTTTATAATCGCTTCTTCCATCTATACCTTATTTTCCTTAAAAAATATTATTTTGAAGGTTCGGAAAAATTCGATTCTTTTTTTATTTTTCTGCGGATTTTTTTCGGTTTCTTTCCAAAAGGTAAAAAAATTCATTTAGAAAAGTTCACGTGTGTTCGATTCAAACTTGCCATATTTTTTCTAAACAAATTTTCTTATCCTTGGGAAAGAAACCAAAAATATCGACGAAAAATGGAAAAAACTCGATTTTTTAAAACTATATTAAGAAAATATCATTATTATTTCCTCTTCCTGCGTCGTCTTTTAATCCGCTCCTTCTCAAGATTACACCCGGGATAGAAGGAGGCGCAATCGATTCCGCCCAAGCCGAGAATGGATGCTTTCACAGAGTCCAACATTGCCGACCACGGAGTCCTGCTCAACACTCTGCCCGACAGCCAACTCATACCCAGGCTGAAAAAGTCGGTCTCGACGTTAACGATTTCAAGGTGTGTTCAACTCCAAACTGCCGACCATTGATACTTCGTCGACCAGTCCCCAGGAGCATAGTGATATCCTGAGAATCTCACGCCGAGACAGTTGCCGTTAAATTGCAACCTGGATTACCTCCAAACGGGAATCCAGATCCTACGCCCGTCGTTAGTCTCCCTGGAGTATCGATTATTCTCACACAGCATCCTGCGCAGACAATTGCCGGCGTCCGTTTCGGCGATCATAGACGCCTCTATGGACCTCAAGACGCGATATGATAATTCGTTCAGGTCATCGTTACTGATCGACGACAAGGGAACGGGAATTGCGTGCCGTTTGACACGTTGCCTGCCGGTAGTCATCATCATGGGCGGATTGTTGTTGTTCTAAAATATAAGAAATATCCTTCAATTTCATCGCATTGCAGTGCATCAGAAAATCTATGTACAGCTCCGCGTTGCAAAAGACCTTCGCTGAGATGAGACGGTATTTCCAGAAAATAATTGGTTGTTGTTTTTAGATGAGGCGGAATTTGAATACCGCGTTCATTAGTAGCTGAATGAGGAAGAGTCCGAACGCCAAGAAGGCAAGAGCGGTGAGCGCAATTTCGAAGAAATCTTTGACCGAGAGATCGCCCTTTCCCTTGGAATAAGAAGGCCTGTGATCCTCTTCCTCCTGATCATGATGATGTGCTGGCGGTGCGTAATAGTACTCCTCATGGATGGACGGGAAGAAGTCACCGTGATGTCCGAAATGGTTGCCGTGATGTCCGAAGTCGCCATGATAGTGGCCATACGCCGGCCCGTAGTGAAAGCTGTGATGTCCCGACGACGACGATAACGTGTCGCCTATTCGGTGGAATATACAAACATCATGCGTCAGCGAATCCTCCGTGCATCTCCTCGCGACGATTTCGCGCTATAGCCTCCTGAGGATTCTTACCTTCGTGAGACGGCTCGTGCAAGCCCACTTTTCCGGTTGGCAGAGGAGCTTGCATCGCGAAACCCGTCACTTCGCCGTCGAACTCTTCGATGTTTTCATGTTGGGCATCTTGTTTTTTCATTATCTTCTTATGAGGTGCGTAATGTCGGTATATATCATCTAATGTAGTTGTGCTGTTACCGGTAGAAAATAGTTTAACCACTTTTCCGAGAAAGATGTGTTTTGAATGTGACAAAAATTCGCAGTAAAGTACTTATTAAAGCCGCGATGTTCGATATAATCTTCTCGTGAAATTTGAAACTTCGGAAACGAATTCATGAAGGACGCGGCACTAACTCGGAAGCCAAATTAAGTTTATAATCTCTTCTTCAACTTCTTATATCACAATGGCTGCTCTTAGCAGAAAAAGCAGCTAGCAAGCGCTTTCCGCTGCGTTGCCAGCAGCTTTGCAACTATTGTAAGATTTTATACTGAAAGACATTTAGCAACTTATGCTGCTCCAACATGTTTACTAGACGGTCCAGCATATTAAAAGTATTCTGGAAAAAATGGCGACCGCTTAGTAAACATGTTGGAAAAGCGTAAATCGCTGGGGTCGTTCAGCAGAAAATCTTACAATAGTTGCAAAGCTGTTGGCAGCGAAAAGCGCTTACTAAGCTGCTTTTTCTGCGGAACGCAGCCAATATCTCATTCAACGTTGCAAGCATGATCGATAGCAAATAGAATTTAAAATACGGACATTTTCACAATTCTTCAATTCGGCGCTTACCGTTGCAGCCAATTTTTATACTTCGAGCTTCCTTCGTCCGACAGAAGCTTGTCGTGTATCGTAACATTGTCACTGCTTAAAAAATTACGCAGATTGTTGTTTGGCGAAGATTCAGGACGTCGTTTTATTCTCGGAGTGCTCACTTCCTTAAATATTTCTTCCGCCATGTAGCCGTGACAAAGGTACTCGTTCATTCTTTTCCTGATTTTACGTATCAACAGATAAAATGTCAACGTAAAAACTATATTTGTGCGTGCGTCTTCAGCTTTGCAACTTGTTAACATTTCACAAGAATCGCATTTCGAGTCTCACCTATGATAATCCATTTCGTTTAACGCTCTATCGAAAGATCCGTCTACACTTTCGTTTGTCGGAAGTTTGCTTGTGTTGGAGGTATTGCCGTTTTGATCGGTAAATAGAAACGTTCCGGGTAAAAGATCTATGGAAAGTATGTCGTCTTGGTTGATGCAGAACTCGTTGCCGTCGTCGAAGCATTCTTGCGCCGATATCGCGCAAATTGTGGAAAAAATCGCGAGAAGGTGCATTATCACGTAATTTTTTGCACTAACACTTTTCATCACGTCGCAATGAAGTTTTTAATACCAGTTATGCCACGGCAGTTCGTCGCTGTGAAATACAGAGACGACTGTGAGGAGAAGGCGATACGCTCGTGTGATAATCCTCTTGTCCGCTAGAAATAATTGCCTTAACCGTAATGTTGCTGATGAGCTGCGTTACTACCGTTTTATCAGGGAAATAACATGTTACTTGCAACGTCGTTACCGTTACAAGTTATTTTTTCTTTGAAAAAAAAAATCATTCTTTATTATCAATATTCTTAACAGTTTTAATACAATTACAGATTTGTATGACATATTATGCGATTAAATTATATATTATGTTAAATTTGGCTGTGAAATATATTTTACACGTAAAAGTAAATTTGTTTAGAAAACCGTGCTATTCATAGCTTAATCAAACAAATCGATATCGTCTCGATATCAAAATCGGGAAAGAGAACGCCCGCATACCTGTAAAAGCGGGTTGCTGGAACATCTGTTTAAATCCGTATCTAATCCCACCGCGATTGGTGACAGCGCCGGGCGATTTACGCGTAATCCGACACTCATGATTAAATACGTTTATTAAAAACCACTTACAACGCTCTTATGAATGTTTCAGCGGCGAAGGGTCCGCCGGAGCGCCCAGGTCGAGGTGGTAAGACAGGGTAATGGGGGCTTTGTTCCCCTGGGAACGCGCTCACCTGTCTAATATCTCGCGAGAGTGGCTATATCTGTACACACACCAAAAGCGGCCAGTTATAACGCGGAGCTTACTGAAAATTAATCGCGCAGTTTCGAAAGAATCCTCGCGTATCGCGCGTCTCGTCCTTCCAACTAAAATAAACGTTTCTCACGCGATTATTAATGGCGTCGCAATTGCGAAATTGCTCGCATATACGTCGTATAAAATATTATCGTGCGAAAATTATTTATTTACTCGTTCGATACTTGCTGAATAAAAGTATTACAAATTTATAAGTAATAAAAATGTGTAGATATAATTCTCTAACAAACTTTCTAAATATTCTATATTTAGATAGTTTGACATATTTGGCTATTTAAGAAATACAAAGAATATACTGAAGTACGAAATAGTACACAAAGGCAAATAAATAGGAAAGAAGATTAATGATATAAGCGAATAGGGAACATTGAAGGTTTTTCGCGCTTTGAGTTAAACATATTTTAACGTACAGGGAATGTACGTTACGGGATATTATTTTTCAGTAGAAGACCCGGAGATGTGGTTTTAACTGCTCACAGCTGAGGTGTGATCGCGCACTTCCCCTTTTGCGTGAACACGACCTGCGGCGGTTTGTGCGTGAGTTCACCCTCCTTTTCTCAGGTGCTTGATTGATCGTTTCAATTACCTAGCGCAGCGTGCATCAAACGTGAGAGTAAACTTCGCAGAGAGCAAATGGATCGTTTATCCGAAACATTTACGGAAGAACGTCGAGGTGGATCGCGTATAAAGCATGTAAGTCGCGAATAATCGCATACAATCGAATAAACAAACGGAGCGTGTTAATTAAATCATAATACAAATGTAATTCCTCATCTCTATGTGGATCAACGTGATTGCGAGGACGATCGCAGCAATTAACGATACGAACCGCATGCGATTCTCAGTTTGTGCAATTTTATTCACTACTGTGATATCGAATTCGCGATTTAGACTATTTTCGGGAAGACACTGAGCAATTACGAAAAATTGATAAAGGACGTGTGAGAGTTCATGCTAGGAAGATTCTAAGAAATGATGTCCTCGACCGTAAATTAACGTGTGCGTTGACCATATCGTTACTTCCTCTCTTCGCACCTAACGACACGGCTTAAGCGCATTTCACTTCATGTATTTAAGGTTCAATATTTGTCCCGGTCGCAAGTACGTGTAAAATGTTCAACCCTGCGTGTAATCGGCGTGCGAAAAAGCGTACGCGACACGAGTCGGGCGAACGTAAATTCGCGTCTAAACGTAAAACGAACTAGCTCGCAAGTCGCCGCTAGTCGTCAGGGTGTTCCGTCAATTTGACGGTAACGTCGAGAAGATATTTTGAGAAGACTTGTAACATGATTTTATTTTAAACATACTCGACGATTCTATGTGATTTCAGTAGGTGCGTTTTGTATTTTCGATACGTCGTCTTCAAATCGAATTTTATTTTTACCTATTTACAAAATGGCACGCCATTCTCCTGAGTAGTTTTCGTATTAATATAAATTACTGTACAATTTTTTGTATCTTTAAGAATAATAGTATTTCCAACGTAATAGTTACGTTATTCGAATTTATATCGGACAGCCGAGGATTAATAATAACCACGTTTCCGGGACACGACACTACGTGCTGAAGTGTCTAATGTATAAGGAAAGAATAATATACGCTTTTCCGCAAAGACGAAATAACTCAGACGTGGATCGGGCGGAGGATCGATGACAGGGAGCCGCGCGGTAGAAAGGGCTCACAATCGCCATTGGTCCTTTTAGCCGCGAAAGCGTGGAGCCGAGTGGATTTACGGCGCGCGAGGATGAACATTGAGATTGGCACAGGTAGTCCGGAGACTAATGGACGCGCCATTCGCGAAAATAGACCGCATACCGTGCCCGTAAACAGAAATAGCACGATATGCTTCGATAAGGACTATCATCGGTAAGGAAAGTCTCGAGCCGCACGTAAGGACGCAACACGGGAAAATATCACTGAGCATTGAATACTTTTACTTTGTTGCGCTTCAAAGACTTACCGTACTACAGGTATTTGTATTTAACGCTCTTTTTTCTTTAGTCATTTGTCCTCTTCCACGAATTGGATTAAGAATCTTTCGGATCAGTACATCGGGTATCAATAAATCGTGTCGATTTGATTTCGAGGCCCTGGTCGCGAGTGAAATTCTTATATCGCCAGTGGTGGCTTGTAATATTTTGTCAGGAAGGTATAATTGTTGGAATTCAAGGGAAAAATGAGCTTCCTCGGAGTAAGGAGAGAACCACTGCGCGTAGTTCGCTAAACGCGTGAAGAAGTGTTTTGCGGTACTTTTTCACGACGTTCTTCGTGTGGCAGAAGCGTTTATCCATTGCTAAAGCGTGGACGGGAAAGAGAGAAGCGACCATCGTTTTACCGGCATAAAATTTCGAGATAGAGGGGTCAAAGAAGGCGGCTACTGCGCGAGCGGTGTGCGCGTTTGTGACCAATCGGAGTTTCACCTTTTGATCCCAGATGAACCCTTTCTCGATGTAGCGAGACCCGCTACTGCGCAAGCCGAATCGTGGCTCAAGCACTTTTTGGGAAAGAACCATAAAATGCGAATGGTTCAATAAAATGGAAATGTAAGGAATAGAAGACCGGTCGTACACACTTGAAAAATCTGTTGCTTCGATTGTATTGTCAAGGGAAAAAATATCTTAATGATGGTAACAACGTAACGTATGAAATATATTACGCGATGAATGTTTATGTAATATTGCGCAGGTAAAATATGAAATTTGAAGTGGAAGGGAAACAGTCCACATTGAATAAAATATTTATCATAAGTTGTCATACGTACAATTTCAATAACGACCACGATCGATGAATAATGATACAAGTGCAAGACCACGGAAATTTTAGAGAGATCCTACGAATATATTTTATATCTCTTTACTTGTGCATTTCATGTTTGCACGTCGTATTTATGCATGTCACGTAAAAACATAAGTATCGCTGCTGAACTTTGCGAGTTAAATATTCGATTGATGACGAGAAAATAGACGGTTCGTACAAATATTGCAAACGATATGGCGAAATTTGAAAGCTATAACAATAGGGGTATAAAATATGAAATCATATATAAACCGCCGCGTTCCTGTGATCCCTACTCCGGTCGAAGATACCAGGTAAGTGGGGGGGGATCCGAGGTGCGAGATATTTTCCAGCTTCGCGGGATGACCTTCCCTTGGGAAGCTGGTGGGGATGCTGGGGAGGTCCTTCTCTGGACCACAGACACGTGCCACTTGTCATACTTTCGGAAGTACTTGCTTTCGGGCGGTTCGGAGGGAGATTAGTACGCGATCAGGTGTGATCGATCAAAACGATAACGCGTGCTAAACCGCTTAAACATACAACCGACTCGTAAATAAATATTCCTCGTCTTATAAGACGTTTTATTGACAAGAATAATATATATACGCCTGTATCTCTACTAATCTCACCGTGCGGCGATGGATAGATGAATAGATGAACACGAAAACTGTTTCGTAGACGAATCATAAACCTGTCCGAATAAACAATTCAGCAATATTTCTTACGACACACAAAGAAGACACGTGAGAAGAGGCGTCAAATTATTTCAGTGACCCGGTGTCAAATGTGCCGTATCCGAAGTGCGCGAATTTGAGTTCAAACTACTAGAACGTATGCCGTTGTCGAAGTGAAATCGAGAAAATCGACTGTATGAGCCGGATTCGATGATTTTTCGCAACATGGAACTCTGCCAGGACCGCGAGAAAATGAGCGACGCTGTTTATGATCTTCGCCGGATAAGATCGCTGTCGAGCGAGAACGAAACGTTCTCGATAAACGAGCGGGGCTGTAAATCGCCGATCGCCAATCGGGAGACCATCGAATATGTGTCTGATTCCAGCTGCGAGGGTTACAGAGAGTTTCAGAAACAACAGGATGAAAGAAGAAATTCCTCGCCGATAGCCGCGTCCAGTGCTTTCACCATCGACAGTATCCTCGGGAGAAACGAGAAGAGAGATCAAACTTCGAGAATGGTGATAGAGAACAGTTCGGGTGACAGAGAAGAAGATCAAGACGAAACGGACGACAGGATTGAGGGACACTTTGTCAGGCCTACCGCGATACCTGCTACCCGTTCTGGTATGTAAACTATCATAAACATTCACGCTCTACACGGAGAAAATAAAATTCCGTCGGTGTAACCGAATTTTCTTTCGCCTAAGGACCATACGAAAATTTGGTTATAAAAACCGAAAAATTCTTGTAAGACATTTCTACTCAGTCAATCGTTTTCAGACTTTCCAGTTGTCTCAACCGAGTTCTAATGCAGCTGAATATTCAAATATTCAAACGAACGTTTTCAGTCGTCGTAACAGATATATAAATTCTTACCTCCGAGTTTTCATTTGATCTCTATTCTATTGCTAAAATGGAGTTCTTTTTTCGTATATATTTTTCCAAAAATTCATATATATGAATATATTGTCATAAGTAACTTTTATCTTCTTTTTTTCTTTAAATTAATTTTGGTACGACATCGTTGACAAAAAAGCTTAATACTTGTTCGTCATTGTTAATAATGACTCGTGCTTATTTCTAAACTTCTAAGGGTGAATTTAGAATAGAACATGGAAAAATACAATGCAACAGAGTCTCAGAAAACTTGAAGGGAATAATTACCGTGCGTTGTCTCAAGAAATGTTTTACGATTTGATAGATATAGAAGGAAGTTTGTACACCCATACGGGGCTACCGTATCCTGAAGGCGCGTTACCCGATCCTACGGCGTATTCTGCAACATCGCTCGCATCAGCCTCTTTATTGTACAGTAGCTGGTTTGCTCAAACAAAACCTGGTCAGCTGTTTGGCTTGCAAGGTAAGATCAGATCCTTAAAACATTCACGCACTGTCGATAAGATCAATAAAGCCTGACTACTATTCTTGACACACACATACTTTCCATTCGAAGGAAAATTTCTTCAGATTTTACCTTTAGAAAAAGGAATTTCTTCCCCCTGCAGAAACAGTCAGCCGATACTTGAGACGTGCGAAAGAAAATTCGTTACAGTGCCAGAAACGTTTCTTCGTGTCCGAGGCACGAACGTTGCCGGTGTGAATCGCGACGACAAAGAACTCTAATTATTATCCACTCGTAATAACTTACCGCTGTAATTCCATTTTCGCGAACAATGCTGAGAGAGGTATATAAGGTGAGTACCCCTCTTTCTCGGCTTCAACGAATATTGGATATTACACGAGGCGCCTGCAGTAACAGCTTTTCGACACGCGAGGCACACATCAGTGGCCCAGTTGCTGCACTCCCCTGTTTTCGGCACGTTATCGGCGAGATATTAAATGCTTAGGCAGCTAAAGAACAGAACGCTACTCAAATCGCAATGTTCCAGCCGTTCTGGCTTTCATTGTCACGCAATACCAGCGTCCAATACATATTCCGCTGTTCTATCAAATATCTCTTCAATTCAGCGATTCAGCAACTGTTGGGTATTCTTTGTCTCGTTTGTTACGATTGTAACGTTATTACTTCAGACGCGCCACGCGAGTTCATTCGGCCTGTCGAAAATCTCCACGCCACGAAACCTTGCGTTAGCTTTCGGTTCCCAAGCATTTCGCGACTCTGAAACAAGATTGAAATCCGCCATTGCCGATCTCTCTTCCCGGCTACTATCCGCCATGCTGTTAGGTGCCCATTTATTAACACCGTCGGTCTAATCATCTTCCGCGAAGGTGTTAAGTGTCTCTGTATACTCGTAAATCTTGGTACCGCCGGTTCTTCTTTTTCGTCATCGTAAGCATTCTCTTTTCCGGCCGCAACGGCAGGCCTCCTCTTTCTAAGAAACGCAATCACCTTACCTGCGATTCGTGCCAATTAATTTTATAGTCAAGACCGTACGCCACGTTTAATTTCCTTCATACAATGACGTAACGTAAAATCGACAGATATTTAACAAGCGTGCTGTGTCGCCTCGCACGTATCTCCTGTTAGAAAAAATGTTAGATAAACAGGTGTTTTACACTGTTGTATCGCTCAATAGACGCCAGGCGCTTCTTGAACGTTATTTGCGGCATATACTTGCGCCATCGGGTTTCCTATTTCGAGCACAGAGCGTTACGTGTGTCGAAGCGTTTTGAACCCGCATGATGTGTGCCGTACGCGGATTTGCACTGACAATAGTTAACCACTTACAAATTAAGCGTGTCAAAGCAGACGTAAGTGACGTTTCGGACGCGTGAAACCACAATTTTCACATTGAGAAAGGATATAATATATGAGGTATCTGTGATATTCTACCTGGTGAAACTGTGCCGTTCTTCATACCACGTAGACCATGCTGGTAGGGTCCATGTAAAAACGGAAAGGTCTTGTACAAACACGCGACATCTATTTGTTGACACGTCGTGTAAGGGCCGTGCAGCTAACTGGTGATTAAACATAAGAAAAGAGCAAAAAATGTCTATTTCTATGTGAAAGCATTGCGATCTCAGGAGTCTCCGTCAGGCGAGTCCGTGCTATTTTCAGGATTCCACGAATAAATAAAGTTAGGGGAACAGCGAGTTACTGCTAGTATTGTTGACAATTTGTGAAAAGGCACTAACACGAAAATAGATGATACATTCTTTAACTCATAGTTCGGTCTGCAGATTGCATGCACCACATTCGAAGAAATCATTGCATAAACGTGATGAGAAGGCGATTCTTTGTGAAACGGTACGACAAAAGTATAAAGTTTTATCATTTTCATTCAAGTTGCATGACTTTTAATAACCTCGCGCTATATGCCGTCGAATTCATCTTGTTGAAGTCTCTATTACAGTATTGCGAATGTCGTGGATAGAAAGTGAAGAAAATGCGATATACGCGGTGATATTATTCGTAAAATAATAATCAAATGAGATCGTTAGAACTTTTTTCTATAAATATTAAATAATGCTCTCAGGATGTTGACAGATTATAAAAGAGTATCAGACATTGGATAAAAATTAGACGGGAAAGAGACGGGAGCTATCTTGTTGCAAGGCGGCACTGTATAGTAGTTGTTGTTGTTATTCCACAATGTCGCAGGTGCTTCGTTATTTGTGCTCAAACGCGAATTATTCGCGGATATTTGCCGACGTGGTTAACAATCGCCGTATTGTTTCAGCGCGGCTAATTACGTTATAATGTCTCATATCTTCTTTTCAAAGGAAATGTGTAGTACTTCTTTGCACTACGACGATAATCGCATCCAAACGTTCTCCGTCATAAACTGTTTGCGCAGCTCGTTGCCGCTTCGCCTGCGCGATATTGACAGTAGGATGTCACACATTCCGCAAACAGTCCCGCACGTTTTAGACACGTTCGGTAATTCTAGGCAGAACTCGATGGACGCGCCGAAATCGTAAGGAGATGGTAATTGAGCTCGAGCCCGCCAAGTTGGCCGAAGAATTAAGAGGCACGATTAGAATATTAAATTTTGATTATCGCGGCGATAAATCTTCACGAGTGTCAGAGTGTCAGAAAACTGTCAAGAGCCTAAAGAGACGTTCACACAATTAGCAATGGCCAAGATGTGAATATCGACGCACCCAGTGATTGACACTTCCAGTCGCGTGACGATTGATAATTGTTGCCAGTCAATCGAAAGTTGGCAGAATATCATTGAATATCATGTGGTAGAGCAAACCCCATTAATGCTGTTCTATTCTTTAAGTATAATGAGACCGAAAATTTCCAATCGGGAGCATTACATTTGCGTTATGACTGTTGATAATTTGATGAATCGGCAACGATTCTCTAAAACAGCAGTAATAATGCATAAATATCCAAATCACGCGCTTGATTGGAAAATTTTAATATTACTATGTCTAGAGAATGAGACAGCATTAATAAAGTCGGCTGTATAGTCGCGGACAGAAAGATTATTATACTTTTTCTTCGATGCAGTTCGGAACGCAACCAACGGCTCAATGAGAGGACTTATTTTCCGGAAATGAGTTCTGAATGCATCGAAAAAAAGTGTGACAACCTTTGTGCCCACGATTGTACGCGCACGAGAATTATACATACCGATATATATTATTATAATTTTTGTAGCACCTAAACCGAGCGGCAGGAGATCTAGGAAACCGGGTATCGATCGGAAACCGCGTCAAGCTTACAGCGCGAAACAACTGGAAAGACTCGAGGCGGAGTTTAAGGTACAACTCGCGTTACCTGCGCTTTACTCTCTCGCGAAATTTTCATTTCTTTTTAAATACATCTGATGGATGCGTATGTGCATATTCATACGTCATTCGATATCCTCATTTTCACAGATCGACAAATACCTCAGCGTGAGCAAGCGAATGGAACTGTCCAAGTGTCTGAATCTCACTGAGGTGCAGATCAAGACATGGTTCCAGAATCGCCGCACTAAGTGGAAAAAGCAGCTGACGTCGCGGCTGAAAATCGCACAAAGACAAGGACTCTTTCCGCCGACGTACTTCCCGACCACCCAGTACCCTCTCCTGCCGTATTACGCGGCGCCTTTGATGTTCGGCAGCCCGTTATCGGACGACGCGAGCTCTAACTTGCCGGCGCGACCCACCGTATCGTCCTCGGATACGGTCTGACATCGCACAGATTAGAACTACTTGGTCGATCGTCGGCCGGGTGACCGCGAAGTGCAATAAGACCTTCCGTTGGCCACTATGATGTCTTCGGTAAAATTGTCATTCATCTTTTTTTTTTACATTGTCACACGGATATACCGAGTCGATGTAGATTTGGACGGCAGTTGTAACCATTGACGGTACGATTACAGGATCGCGATCTGATCGCGGCGTAGATAAAATTCGTAATTTTTTCTAAATACGTTCACTGTACATAAAAACGCGACGATTGTGGGTTTACTTTACGTCCGCTGGAACTTCACGCTCTAAGTTTATTCCTGCGATGTTAGTTGTAATGAAATAAAACACACGCTAGAAGTATGCGAGAGCAACAGAGGCGCGACGCGGGAGTGGCGATCTTACGAAATCGGGACAGTTTTCTTTGGGGTAGGTTGTTTTTTCACTGTATATAAAATGCTGCAATTGTAGATTTATGTAATACCCAGGAGGATTGTGCACACAAAAAGAAAATGGACGAGTTCTGGATTTACCCGCGACTTTTCCACGTCCCTGATTGCCGAGGAATAAGATTGCGCGTCTGTGAGATGGTCACGTACGAGATACGGACAATCGCTTCGAATCGCCGTACTGCCTTTCAGATCGATTGCGTTCGCCGTATATAAAACACGGACGATTTACTGATTTATGTAACGCCTACGGGAATCACGTGAAGCATAGACGGAGTTCTGGGCTTACTTGTGACTTCCCACGTTTACGTACGGTAGCGACAGAATAAGATTGCATTCAAGTGGCAGTCACGTGCAAGTGACGCGAAAGAGACACGAAACGCCGTGCGCAGGGATACCACGCGACGGACACGTGAAAATAATATGAAAACGATGCGAGCTTGATGTGTATGTGTATGAAGGAGTGCTTAATATCTCGAGCTGCTCCCTTCTTTTCCTTCGAACAGCTGTAAAGAGAATCCGATCTCGCTTGGAACCATATGGAACAAAGCACGAAGGAGCTATATAATTAAGGCTAAAGTGTGTCAGGGAAAAAGCCACGCTGCACCGTCTTTAATAAAGAGCGCGATAATAAAAAGAAACTTCTTATCGCCTGTCAAACTTTGCGAGAATAACGACGTAGAAAGATCGAAGGGGGGAAGAAGAGAGAGGAGGAATGGGGGTGGTTTTATGCTCGATGAAATAATTACGTATACGTAAGACTCTGTGAACGCACACTCTCTCTGACTCTCTCTCTTTCTCTCTACCGACTCTTGGTTTAACGACTCGCGTTCTTCGCTCGCGCGCGAACAAAGCTTACGCGGCTAGCTACAATTTATCAACGAAGATACGGGACCGAGCAGCAGCGTTACACGTGTTATCGAAACGATTCGTGCGCAACCTGCGATTCAAATATACATTCGACTTAAGGTCGCTCATCTCTTAACGTCAAGTTATGTAAAATTCACCGGTACAACAGAGCGGTGCTATCGAAAAATGAAATAGGACCATTCTAAAATCGAATACACTGAAAAAGAGGGTCTGAAGTATCGAAGACTGTCCACGAACAGAAATAGCGTACTCTCATTTCTTCAGTAAATTACATTTCGTCGTGTGAGCCTTGTTCTTTTTTTTTCCAACGAAAAAATCAATGATACATGTGTATATATTTTTAATTTTGCAATAAAGGAGAAAAATTTGTCGGGAAAAGTAGCATCTCTCGAGGATGCAGTCTAGTTACGGAATGCGACGGAGTCGAGTCAAGGTTGCAATGTAGCGGAGCGTGAAAGAAAATGACAGCATTCGAAATGAACTGGACGCGATGCGGGTAATTATTTCTTTTTATCGGCCAGGTTGAACATTAGCTCAAGTGGCTCGCGAGATTCAGGCGTTCTTCTTGCGGTCACAACATTTCTCGTACTTCGGTCGCTCGCGTTTTTCCGCGTTATCGCGCTTGGCGGACTTATCGGTCTCGCAGGCAACGTGTCGTCTCGCCGGACACTTCGTCCACGTCAGCCTCGGGAATACGCTCAACTTCTTGCGCTTCGTCTTCGGCTCGGTATCCTTGCGCCGCACGCTCATGCCGGGGCACAGTGTGCTGATCTCGCGCGTCTTCACCTTGACGGACGATTGCACCGTGCGCACCAGCACGATCGCGCTGCAGCTTTTATCGAGCGCGGACGTCGCCTCGTGAAATTTATGGGCGGAAACTTGGATGCACTTGTCGGACTGCTCCGGTTTGAACCCGGCCGCCGCGCCAGCGATCGCCAGCGTGTTCTGCGCGCACAGGTAACAGCAACTCTTCAGGATTTCCGTCGGCGCTGCCGGTTGCGCGTCCACGACGCGCGGAATTCGCTCCTCGCGCTCACGCTTTTCTCTCCTCTTCTTCCTCTCCTCCTTGCGCCTCTTTCGCGCTTCCTCCTCGTCCCTCCTGCTCGCCCTCCGCACCTTCTTGGTTTTCTCGGTAACGTCCTTATCGGCCATTTCCACCGCGTCTTGTTTACGACTTCTCTTGGATTTCTCCGGGGCACTTCGACGGCTTATCGATTCTCGATGCGGCGCCGTTGATACACCGGCGACCGCCTCGTCGTCGGGTTTCTCGCACTCCTCCTTACTTCGCTTCTTTATTCGCTTGAGAAGCCGTCTCGTCGACTTTCCCAGCTCGAGTTCGCGACATTTCTTCTTCTTCGCCCTGTGGCACTTCGCACACCACAGAGTTAAACCGCGCTCCTCCTCGTCGGTGTTCGCCGATTGGTATCTACGTGGCGAATCGACATCTCGCGTATCGACTTCCTTGTGTTTTTGTGACGTTTTGTCGGAACTTTCCGGGACACTTGGCTGATCCTCCACCATAGTGTAGACGCACCACTCGCGATTTGCGACGTACCAATCTAACGGTCTCGCTGTAAATTCGAATGATTAATGAGGAGATCTGATGAATCGTAAAAGTGATATTAATCACATTAAAGTATGAAAATACAAGATTCGTTTCAGTGTGAGTCGTACTGATGATTATGGCGAGAGTACCATATGGATTTTAATTTAACCGTTTAATTAAATCCAAATCCGTTCATTTGCCATTCTCATCCCGACGTTTTATGTAGCTTTTAATATAATAAACCGGAATCTATTTCAGCTTTTATTGACGAGAAGAAAAACGATACGCCGCAGTATGGAAAATTGAAATCAGAAACGAGGTAAAAGCATATAGGAAAATGGAGTTATATTTCAGGTTGATTCACAATGAGTTGAATGTACGTTGCTTACCAGATCCATACGCTGAGGAATGCGTATCGTTTCGCGATAAATGCGTTTCGTACTTCGTTTGAGCATTTTCCGAGCCAGATATCTGTTTCTTACTATCTCGTGATGGATAACCGTACGACGCTATGTATGCGGATCGATTTGACGTTATGGATTCATCCGAATTCACTGCTGGGAACATTTTCGTGCAATTGATCTTTTTTTGGGTCCATTCGTTAAGAATTAATAATCGGCAAATTTATCCACGGTTAAATATGTAACTGCGGTATATCACGTACTGTGGTTGCATATATATATCGAGTGAATTATTTCTTCGGCACTTCGCGAATATACGGAGAGAAGGAAATGATATGAATAAATGTATAATTTACATTACGTAAATATAGCTTTTAAATAATTTTGCTCTAATTAAAGAAGCTTTATACCATTAGGTTATATTATCATAGGTTAATACATCATACCTTTAATGAATAAATGATATCAACGAGAGAGAGAGAGAGAGAGAGAAAGAGAGAAAATGGTTTTAATTTCTTCTCATATATTACATTTGTACTCATCTTTCTGATGAAAAGTGGAAATTGTGTGGTCTACATCTCGTCATACCTTATCGATTATTGGAATTTCGTGTTTTTAGCCAAACCGTCATAACGCCTTTGTTTATTGTTAAAAACTGTCAAAAGAACTTTCAGCGCATATATTAAAAAAACATGAGCTGATATATTAGCTAAATATTGTATTTTTAATGCATATTTTAAATTTGATGTTGGGTCTAATGTTTGATTCTCATTTGCTGGATTAAAAATGCGTGTGAGTTCCTTTTCTTTAAATTAATTATCAAATTATAGATTTGATATCGTTTCTAGCAATTATAGTTTATTATAGTAATAGTTAATTACCATTTGATTGTTATAACCTTGGTAATAATACAAATATTGTCATAAGTTCAAATATAATGTTTTAAGTATATATTACTTTTTCCACTACTTATTAACTTAGCTTATAACTAAGATTGTTATATTGAAATAGTGTTGGTGTATTAATGTGTGCATGTATGTGTGCGTATATGGTTATAGTGAAATGGTGTGTTTATTTAAGATTTTTACTAAAGATTTTCTGTATTTTTTTCATCCCAGTTAACTCGCACCTTTATGCGAAATTAAAGCTAATAAAGATTTATTTATAATATACAGTTAAATTACATTATATAAAGATAAGAAAAAGTCGTTTAAGACGTGCTGTTGAATCATATTACTGAAGACTAGAAAAGTTTGTTTTATTCATTACAAGTTGCATCATTTGAAAGTAAAAAGCTTTGGAGACATTCTGTTGTTTTTCGGAAAAATTAATGTTTAAAAATCTAACCTGTCACACTGCATCTGGAAATAAAGGTCCTTCTGTTGTGCCATCAGTTCTAATATCTGAAAATAAAGAACATTCGATCTAATGTTAATTCAAAAAATGGACCACCAGATCCGTTAAAATACGACTAACGGAATGCTTTTCATAGTACTTATCGAAAAGAGAAAGAGAGGCAATATCAAAAATTACCTGTTTTTAAGTCGCACTCGAATATAACAAGCCAACCTGATTTGTCGTTGAATAATGCTACTTGAAAATAAAGACTGATGGTCTTCAATTGCTCTGCCGTTGAGTCGTGCCGCAACCTCGGCTTTTCGTAAAGGATAATGGCGGCTCGTAGCGGAGACTTTGAAACTAATAAACACATCGAATATGTAACGGGAAATTTCACACGACGCCACTAGATGGCACCAGATACTCCGTTAATCGCATTTTAGCGGGTCTGGCGGACGTTTGTCATTGGGTCAAAAAGTTCTTTTACTTTCAAATAACAGGACTAACGGCAGATCAAGAAGACCTTTACCTCCAATGTGGTACGACTCCACGACAGGTTGGATTGTTTAAACATCGATGCATTTTCAACATTCGTTCATTCGAACACCGCGCAAACGTCACGGAGAGATCGCAACGCGATAACCTCTGCGCGGAGTGGCAAGAGTCGCCATCTGACGGTCGCGAGGCGCTCCTGTGAAACGCCGAGGAGAGGGGAGGACGTCGCGTCATAACGAGCGAGCCAGGGAAGTGCAGGAGCCCGGCGGTGGCAGGACTGTGTCAACGGCGACAGTGGCGATTGGTGTTCGTGCGCGCGCGTTCCCGTCCCGCGTATGTGTGCGTGTTTGTTTCTGCTGCGATGCGTCTGCTAAGTATCGAGTGGTCGTCGTCGTCGTCGCGCCGTGCGTGAAGAAACGGCCAGCGGGTCCGTCAGCTGTTTGCGAGCGTCGTCGCCAGCGAGCACGGACTGTCGTCGGCGCGGAACGGAGCGCCCGTGCCGGAGGGGCCACGGAGGCGGCGAAGAGGCGAAACAAGCGAGGAGACGAGCGGTGCGAGGAAGTTCGCGAGGTGAGGGGCGGATCGCCGTCGTGTGTGTGCTGGTCGGCGTGCAGCGTCCGCGTGCGAGAGCGCGATCTCGACGGGAAAATGATGGCGTAGACCTCGCCGCGCTCCGGAAGCAACGGCATCAGAGGGAGAGAGAGAAAGTGGGAGAGTCAGAGGAAGAAAGAGAGAGAGAGAAAGAACGAGCGAGCGAGAACGCGCAAAGGGAAACAGGAAAGAGAGAGAGAGGAGCAACGAGATAGAAAGAGAAAGAGAGAGACGCTCGTAGCCGTCGTACGTGTCGCGGTGGTAACGAACGCAGCCGATCATCCGCGTCCTCCGCGAGCGAGAGCGCGCGTCGTCGTCGCCTACGTCGATTATCGCTGTCGCCCGCGAACGAGCGGAGCGCGACGCGCGTAACGACTCGTCCGGTGGTGATCGAGACGCGCGGTAGTGTGCTGGTGCAGTGCTGAGTACGGCTGGAAGGCGAGGAGGAAACAAGTGGAGAAGAAGGTGGTGCGGTCGTGACGCGCGCGCTCTTCCCCGTCGCTTATCCTGTTGCTGACGACCGCACCACGCCGTGGTGTAAGTCGCGCCCGTTTGTTTGTTGTGTTTGTCCGCGGGTACTCGCGAGTCGTGGTGCCGACGCTAGATAGCCAGCGGCGTGTCTCGACTGCAGCGGGGAATATAGTACTACGATGATCAGTGACACGTGCGGATACGTTCTCTGCCTGCTGCTGCTGTCGCTGGTCGCCTACATCGAGAGCGGTAAGTGCCAACGGTGACGAAAAAAGTTGGTTTCGGCCCGACGCCGACGTGCTTTTGTTTCGCGTTTTACGCACCTTGCCTATACAGGCTCCGCGCCGTCCACGAGCACAGGATGTGACTCGTGCTCTTGTGTGCACGGTCGGCGCGTGTTGCGTGAGAATGTATGACGTGTTCCTGTGCGTGCGTGTGTGTTCCTCTCTCGTGAATCATCGTCCTTTCACGAACGCGCCTGTCGCGTGTCTCTATGCGCGCTCCGCTCCGAGCGGCCGAGCGACCGCGAGACTGATAGTGGCCGCGAACACTCGTGGCGAGAAATCACGTTACTCTTCGAACATCGCGCGAAATCGCTGATCGTCGGACCCGGTTTCCCTGAATGAGTCACCACGCGAACGAGGAAAGTATCGCAGCTGTCGCCTCGTTTGAACAATGTCGCTCGGTCTTGCTGATACGATTTTGTTCCTACCTGTTCGCGCGACTAGAGACGTCGGTTGTTTTGAACTTTAACTGTGAGGATTGCTGGTATAAATATAGTTATCGCGAAAAGTTTGCTCCGCCGTTTCCTCTCTCTCTCTCTCTCTCTGTTTGTTATAACAAAATTTATATTCTATCTGTGTGGAGTTCTTTTGTTTGAAATGAAAAAGTTATAAAATCTAACATCTAAAAGTGCGATATTCGAAATATTCTAATAATGAAATTGTGATTCAATAAAGATTTTTATGAAACTTTATTTTTATCTTATTTCTTCATGTTATCGAATTTTTGGTCAAGGTTTATAAAATAGTCATTTGGAAAGATGCGATTACGTGCGATCGCGTGATTCTAATTCCCGGTTCAGTAAATCTCGCGAAATACGATTCGATAGATTTACAATTCTAAAAAAACATATGTAATGTAAATAAATATATCACGACGGGGAGGATACGTAAACAATTGCGATATAAAAATATTCGATTCACGATTAAACCCGGCTTTGCTATTATATTGATCGTTTAAGCGTAAATCTGTTGATTGTCATTACCGAAGTCACACGCGCACGCACGCACAACGTGTGAACGCCGCTGTTATCTTGTTTAAACTTTTGGACAAAGGCAAATAAATCTCACCTGCGGCATAATGATATCAACGTATCTCACACGTATTCCCGATTGCAAATATTTTTTTTTCCACAATATTACCGCGCGAACGTCTATTTGCTCTTTTTTTTTTCTTTTTCATCGGAACACGTTTTACCTGCGAAAAACGAGCGATCGGTCTTCTCTTTGAGAGCGTTCTGCTGTCTACTCCGAGTCAGGAGGGGATACGACGCACCGCGTTCATCATTTCCGGGAAATTCCGAGCCGCATAGGAAACTCCGTCGAACGTGATCCGACGAATCGAGTCGCAGAAAATGTGAATCACTCTCGTGCGATTCTCTCGTGCGAGTTTCTCACAGCCCTTTCGGGTCCAATCGGCCGACGTTGTGCGTCGCTGTGCGTCATCCGATCGTTAGATTTTAAGCGCCGAGAACTCACCGTAATTTTCGTTCGGGAGCCATCAGCTCCCATTGTTTCATCTAGAATCAATGTAGACGTTTGGTGGACGCGGAATCGCCACTTGCCCTTAACCCTTCGACACATCGCGTTGCCTTGAGGCAAATAAATGCGATAAATCGTGCTTCATTATCGAAATCTTAGCGATTTCAGACATGCGATACTAATTTTAGATCTCGACGAACACGCGACGCAACACTTATCTTTTATTTGGAATAGAAACTCGCACTTACTCGCGCCGTTTCTCGCCCCCTCGAATTTTTCCCCACATCGACAGAAATCACGCGATAGAGTTAGAGCTTCGCGATTCTCGGATTGACACGAATTTTAGCACATCGTCAGTTTCGATTTCGCGTCAATTCGGCGTTACTTGGAGGTGCCAGTGTACACCACGCTCGACGCGAAATTTCATTGTAAGTATGTAACAATCGCGAAAATACCCGAGTCGAAATTTTACGCCCTACTTTAAGTCCAATTTACATTAAGTGTTCAAAGATCTATTGTGTTCTTTTGGTGCCACAAGTGGGGATTTATCTTCTTTTTCTCCACTTGGAGACTTAATGTAGAATTCAAAATTTCGACTCGGACAATTAGCATGGCGAAGATTTCGAATGCGCGACGCGTGGAATCGTACGATCGTCGCGAGACGATTGCGAGGAACGTCGTCTCTTTCTCTCTCCCTCTCCTTTTCTCTCTTCCTCTGGCGCGCGACATGATGTGAATGGCCCTCGACGGAAGTCACAATCAGCGATCACCGCCGCGTTGGATGATAGTTATACGTCGGTGTGCGTGCACGTCACTGTACTATTTACGGTTACGGAGAAGAGCAAAGAAAGCTCTCTCTCTCTTTCAGCCAGCGAGGTTCCTGCGCGCAGGCGGATCATAATACCGGACGTTTGCGAACGTAATTTATGGCGGTGCCATTGTACCGTTAGCTATTAACGATATGCCGACGGGATTAAATTTATCGGCGATCGTAAAATCGTCGATTAATGCGCGTTTCGGGCTCGACTTCCGCGAATCGTCGTCATCGTCGGGTCGCCGCCGTCGCGACGAAATATCGTCGTCATTTTGCACGGTATATAGTTTCGTCGCGCTCCTAACCGGGCGATCATCCGGAAGTTCGCACGTGTAAGAATTCCGCGTGTGCGGGAGCTCTCGTATTTCAAAGGATCTCGCGTGTGCGGGGACTTGGTAAGTGCCGCCGAGGTTCTCTCTTTTGCGCGCGCGCGCGTTTGCAAGGACCTCGTGTGTGCGAGGATTCAGCATTTGTAAAGACCTCGCATGTGCAGGAGTCTCGCGTATGTAAGCAGCTTTTATACGCAAACGATAAGAGCGCGAATATGCATCCCGCTCGGAGCGCGTGGGTATGTACGGTGTGCGCGGTGTAATATGTCGTATGAGACGCGATATTTCTCCCGGAGGCGGCGGCGAGACACCGTTGCACTCGCGCGTTTTCTTTCTTATCGAATTTAATTATCGCCCATTTCCCGCTGCTTTCCACGTTAGACGCGAGTCCGCCGCGTTTCGTGCTGAGAATTCTCTCCTGGCTTTCCGGTTGATGAAAACTTTGCGGGAATGGGGAGAGAAATAAAAGTACGTCGCGCGACAAATCCTTCCTCGAAATGTTCACTTTGGGAGACTGATAGAGAGAACGAGAGCTGAGCGGGCGAGCAAGCTCGAGGAATCGCTGGCAAAAAGCCGCTTTGGGACGTTGCATTGTGCCCGGAATATGAAGATAGAGTTAGGACGGACGGTCGGCCGAGTCATTGCATTGTTCCCGTCTGCCGTATCACAAGGACAAAAGGTCGGTTTTCCTTTGCGGACTTTTCAATTCCTTCGGTGTATCGCCGCTCACCACCTGCGATCTTCAAGCAGCGTTGCGCTGCGATTTTCATCTCGAGACGTCTCGCGAGAGACGTGTGCGCTCTGTGTCGGAGGGCATGTAACCCGGGATCCGGGCCGTTGCCTTTTTCACGTGACGGGAATTATCCCGGTAATTGCGCCGGGGACGATTCGTCCTCGTACGCGAAGTTCGTCGACACTCGGGTCGTGGAATTAATTCGTGTCGTTGGCAATCCCGACGCCGCCGACGCTACTGCCGACGCTGCCGCCTCTCGAAGATCGAGCTTAGTTTAGTCCCAGTTTCTGATTTCTAACACAATCAAGCCGATATTGCGCCCGCGGCTTCGTCGAAACCGCACGGCGTATTTGGGACCTCCATTATTCCGTTCCGACCCGAATGAGTCTTGGTTACGGTTACGCCCAGACGACGTTTTACGTTCAAGGTCCTCCGTGCATTTACCGAATGGTATCCGGACGTGAGACGCGCGCCGAGTCTCGGTGCGACCCGCGTTCTCGGGCAAAGTGCGTTTCTTCCTCCTCTTTTTCTATCGACGCGTTGAAAAGTTCTACGTTAACGAAGGATATACGGTATCTACTGTTGGTATACTTCAGCGATTGCGTCATGAGCTATTCGAGCTCGGCAAAGTACCGGAATGAGTAAGTGATGGCGAACACTCTTATGTCTCAGTAATGAGATCGGTTGCGTCAAACGTTGACGCTCTACTTTGATAATAAACGTTCTTCAGGTGTCCTCCACATGTCATCTCATTAACGTATTATCTGCGGGGCATCTCTTTACCAGTAAATATCTTGCACATCGTGCGTCGTTATATTATTTGCGAATCAAAGTAGCATGCTGAGTAGAAAATATAATCATTCATCAAGTTGCATTGAAAGTTAATGTAACGAAGTTACTTTGCAATATTCAGATTTTCTCGGGTTACATCATTAGCAAATTCTCGAGGGATCATTACAATACGGAGCAGAGACGTTTCTGATTTTCCAGCTCGTCCATCGAGACTTCCGTCGCGCATAGCTCTTTAATGCGTAGCGTGCATGACATTTTCCAGCCCGCTACATTGCTCAAATTCACATAGCCGATTTTGTCGCTAATTGAGGGGTTGAAACTTCCCTTTCGGCGGAACAGCGTCTCTCTTTCGGCATAACAGACTTTTGTCGGAGCCGTGCTTGCTTAGAACGCTAGAAGGCGCTTGGCATCGTCCTTGCGATGTTTAGCGAGATGAACTTTCGCGGGAATTTCGGGAATAGGAGGTGCGCGGAATCCTCAGGGAATTCGGAATTCCCGGAGATCAAGGGGGATCTTACCTCCGGGGTTATTCCGTATTCAGGGATATAGGTGGTCGCCGCAAAACTTCCCACTCGGCATTCCTGGCACAACCGCGCTATTCGACTCCACTCGAGGAGGAGCAGAAGGGTTTACCGTTGCTACATGCGAGCGTTCGCGATAGTTCATCGTGCGACGTCGCGCTAGCCTTTTCCAGATTTCCAGCTTTCGCACTGCATTTCGGCGAATCTCGCTCTCGTCTATAGACAGATCGACAATTGCGAGTTCGGCCAGTGACGTGCATAATTTTGTTTATTGTGTTTTTTTTTTGCTTAAAATTT